TCAAAGTTGACCAAAAATTACATTTTATTAAAATGTTGATATTTTGCTTACTATAAGGACTAGGATCATCAAATCTTGTCAGTTGATGCATCTAAGGACCTCATATCATGTTGGCTCAAAAGTAGGTCACGGTGACCTACTTTTTTAAATTTTGCGGCCATTCTTTTTCGAAATGATTTAGAGGCATATTTTGAACAATTTAAAGGGTTTTTATCACGTCTCAAAATTTTTTGATATGACAAAGTTTACATGCTATTAAAATCATATATTTAAAAAATTTTGCTAGAAAATTAACATTTTTGATGTTTCAGCGATTCAAAGTTTGAATTTCTCAATATGCATATTTTGATCGCCGATGTTATGCGCCATTGCTCTGACGTCATAGGTGTCAATCCTGGTCAAGCAAAGTACTTATTGTGTATACAAAATGGCTCATTTGTTGCGTCTATTAAACCTGTTAGAAAATATTTAAGAGATAATTGGATAATTGACAGCTAGTAAGGTATAATTCATGGCTTTAGGATGCACAAATGTGCACAAGAAAGGTTTTAGGAAGATATTTTTCCAAATTTCCTGGACTTGGTTGAGAGATGAAAGAGGGGCCTTTTTCTGCAAATGCGATGGCGTTTATCTCCATTCAGAACAATCGTTTATGCCCGATCGATCACGATTTTTTTCTGTCCTATAAAATATTTTAAGGAAAGATACCTAATAAATGACAAACACGCATTTTTTAAAAGTCGCACAGAATCTAGTAGGAATGTTGTGAACTTCGTAATGGCGTACTGCTCCATTGAAGAAGTATCATTTCTAGTACATGATATTGACTGCTGGAACAGATAGAAGATATACAGGATTTATTTATATATAATTAATTAAAATAATAATAAAGGAGAATTTAAAATTCCCATATTTATAAATGTTTACGAAGTTAAACTTATTAATTCGTTCTATTTAGTCGAAGTCCCGAGTTGTCCACGGCTTCGTCTTTGGTGTCCTCTCCTATTGTCGGCATATTTTCTGGTTATTTCTCTTTGCTGGACGTTCACACATAAAAGATTGACCGTCCATAACCAAAGGAATATAGTCGATGTCAAAATTTCAACCGGCCATATTGTGTTTTCTATTTATTTAGCGTAGAAATCTATTCAATATATTTTTTCTTACGATAAGCCTTACGAGTTCTATTGACCATTGACACCTATGACGTTTCAGTACCACGTGACCCCTATCTAATTAGTGGAGATTTTCACTTCGAGGACCCTATATTATGGGCGTTTTATCGTCTAATTACGGCCGTTTTCAACATTATTTCATAATTAAACGATAATTATATGTTTCAAGAATATAATAGTGTTTCATTTTTAAGAAATTTAGATACGTGATAAAAACCCTTTAAGGCCTATGATCATCAAACTTTGTCAGTTGATGTATCTTGGGTCCTCAAAGTATGTCAACTAAAAAATAGGTCACCTTGACCTACTTTTTGAATTTTATGGCTAATCTTTTTCAAAACAATTAAGGCCATTAATTCGAATACCGAGAGATTTAGAATCTTTAAATCTTGTAAGATGATGCATCTTGGGGCCTTAAAATATATTTATTAAAAAGTAGGTCACAGTGACCTACTTTTTGAACTTTGTAGGCATTCGATTTCAAAGCATTTTAGAGGCATAATTTGGACATTTTGAGGCCTATGATCATATAACTTTGTAAGTTGATGCATCTTGGGTCCTCAAAAACGTCAACTGAAAAGGAGGTCACCATGACCTACTTTTCAATTTATATAACTATAATTAAATATTTCAGGTACTAATTGGCTTAGAATCATCAAACTTTGTCAGTTGATGCATCTTGGGTCTTCGGAGTAGGTCGACTGAAAAGTAGGTCACCGTGACCTACTTTTGTAAATTTATGGCTTTAATTAAATATTTCAGGTACTTATTGGCTTAGAATCATCAAACTTTGTCAGTTGATGCATCTTGGGTCCTTGGAGTACAACAAGTGAAAAGTAGGTCACTTTGACCTACTTATAAAATTTTATGGTTATAATTTAAAAAAAAAACATTTTAGGTATTAACTGGCTTAGAATCATCAAACTTAGTTGATGGGTCCTCAGAAAATGACAAGTGATAAGTAGGTCACCATGACGTACTCTCAGGTACTAATTGGCTTAGAATCATCTTGGGTTCTCAGAGTGTGAATTGGAATTTCAAGGGTTTATCTAAATATACAGGATACTTAGAGGCTTTAGAAGTGATAGGTTGTACAGTTTATCAAAAGAGCGATTCAAGGCCCTTGGGCCTCTTGTTTGGTAAAAATTTGGCATTTTATACCAAAAATAATCACAGTATGATCTATGTACTGCACACATCAATCCTTTATCAATTATTGATAATTACTGCTTAAATAAAGAAGTATTAATACATTGACAATTGAATTACAGTTGATATAGGACCCCAAATAGTAGATTAATTAAAATATCAGTATATCAGTATGCTTATGACATCCTTAAAATAGTAATGTATATCTTTGCTTATTTTATCATTGCAGCTTGATGTTCTCCTGCATGACCAAAGAATAAGTGTGTTCAACTTAAATATGAGAGTATATATAACTTTTATACTGAGAAGAATGAATCATGATGTGCCATTGCAGCTATATTTACAATCATGTAGTTTAAAAATGAGACTTTGTTGCATGAATCTGCATGATTGAATTTTTCCAGGCAGATAAAAAAAGTTGTGATTTTGACTGATTGGTATATATTTTTTTTATTCTGCATTTATTGTATATGAGAATTAATTGATTTTAATTGTGATTCAAATATATTTGTACATTATAAATCATCAGTTGTTAAATGTCTTCATCTCACACAAAGATGTACAAGAATTTATATTGCATAGAAGAATAAAGATGATCAGAAATTAAAAAGAAATTAATTATGTAAGATTTACAGTATGTTGTGTGATTTAAAATAAAATTTAAAAAAAAGTAAAGCCTGTATTGATATTTAGGGTGAAATACATTGGGGAAATGACTCAGAGAAAGTAGATATGTAACTTTATTATTATATAAGGAAATTTCAAGTTGCATCTACATGTATTTTATATGTACAGTGTATCAGCTTCTTATATTTAGAAACTGATTTGGGCCAGATAAATATTAAGTAGCTTTCTTCCTGTTTTAAAGAGGTTGTACAACATATACTGCATAAAACGGGAGAAGTGCACAGACTGCAGTTTCTTCATTTTTGTTGTAAGTTATTTCCTTCCAATATTTATATACTGGTATGTCTGTCTTTCACTGTCATTTTTTAAAAACTGTAGTTCTTAGATATATTGAGATATTTGGGGATATTGATTCAGGTTTTATTGGGATGTTAGATGTGTTTTTTTTTTTTTTTTTTTTGGTTTGCTTGCTTGTTTGTTTTGTTTGTTTGTTTTTCTTTGGGGGGGGGGGGGGGTATAGCACTGAAATATGATAAGTTTCATTTTTAAGTAAAATAATTTTGTTGTTTTCTTTTGTTTTAATTAGTTTTATTGTTAAACATGAGTTTAAAATATCTAAAATGCATGATATTTAAAAATTAACTAATTTAAAAATTTTTAAAAAAGAGACTCAGAGAGAAAGAAACACACACATTAACTGTCAAATCTGTCACTGGTTTTTAAAAGAATTTTGTATTCTCCTTTGGGCTTTTATATATTACATAAATACCAGATATGACGATAAAATATTTATACATGTCAAGGGTGAAGGTGAAATTACACAAGACTCAATATAAGAACCGGTTAACCAGACTCCAATCCGAGAACGAGTTATTCATCATTGCTAGCGCTCTCGAGCGCTAGCAACTACGTTAGTCTATATTTCTGAAATACGCATGCTCGACTTCACGGTCGGGGATTCTGGGAAAACTACTGTAGATAGACTGTACAATAACAATTTCGTTTTGTCATACAAAAATAGAAATGATCCGAATTTCAGGCCTTTCCTGTCCGATATGCGCGATATACATTTCGTAGATTAGAGACAGTCAATACCAGTCTAGATCCGGATTCTGAAATTTTTTTAATTTATTGTCTACCTACACATAAAAGTACAAGAAAAAATTTGGCCATATAATGCCAAGATTCTAGACATCTAGCTTTCCTTACAGTTTTACCACCTTAGTGGATAATTCCGGCAAGCTCGGAAAAAACAACAACAACAAAAATCTTTTTCAGAGTATGTCGGAAAGACATGTCAATTTAGTGTTTATCATCTGAAAATACATATGATCTGAAGTTTCGTGTTCTGTTGTCTAACCTGCACGTAAATGAACAAAAAGTTACAGTAACTCGGGTCTTATAAAACCAAGACTGTTATTTCTAAAGTTGTAATGAATACATAGCTTTTCTAATAGACCTTCATAAATCTTTCCGGCAAGCTCGGAAAACCGCAGCAACCTCGGATATGTTTTCCGAGCTTGCCGGAAAGGCCCGAAGGTGCTCAGTGGTTCTACTGACCTTTTATTTTTCACCTCGAAATTGAAATTACACAGAAATACAGATTGCTTAAAGCACAGTTAGGGGTTATGCCATTGCCGACGTGAAGCACACTCTTAGATTCACCATTCTGAATTGTGACACCCCCCCCAAAAAAAAACTCAACCCCCAGTGCACCAATCTGCCTTCCTATTAATAATTAATCGATTCAGCAAATTTAACAAATGGTTCAGATATCTTTTTCTGTATTTTATTATGCTACAGCGCTAGCTCACCAATCTTTTTAAAAGATAAGCTTGTTATTGAAAACGAAAATGGCGTGTTATTGACCGGATGTAAAAGTGAATTGCTAACTCGTACTTTGATTATATCAAGAATTAATTTTAAATCGCGATTAGAATTGGAATATTTTTTTTCATTTCTAATGAAATGATAACCTTTAAACATATTCTATACATAACTTAGACTTTTTAATTGACCTTTTGATGCTAAAGCAACATTGAAATTCTTACGAATTTATAAAGATCAACTTGCCCTTAAAATTAGAAAAATGTCAACAGTAAGTTTCGTTTTCACAAAAAAATATTTTTTGGCAAATTTGAGAAAGTTTAGTCATTGTTTTGTTAATAATATGCATTAATGAATACGGTTAAAGAACTAAAAACAGTTGTCACGAGACTGGCTTTAGTATTAGATCGATATTCTACATTTCAGATAACCCATCCGAAATTCCTCTTACTCCCTGACTTGTTTTGTTTTTCAGCCAGTGTTGTATTCCTATTTTAGAAGCTCTTGTGCATGGAGAGTAAGAATAGGTAATTTTTTTTAATCAAGGAAATTGATATTCTCTATAACTGTAACATTGTTCAAGGATTTGCATAATTGATGAAATGGTGCTGCACTGCAGAAGTCACTGATTTTATTAAATCACATTGGTCAGACATATGGATACATCCAGTAAACTGATTTCGTTTGTTGAAGAAGGGAATTGTATATTAAAGAACCAGTAATGCTTCTGCATGCATACGCTAGAGAGGTTTAATCCTATAGAACTGCCAAGAGTTTGCTACTGTCATTATATGAGTGTAATAGGATAATATAAGGCCAAAGTAAAATAATTCTTTGTTTGGAATTGCCTCCCGCCTCATTGAAATGCCCCCTCCTGGAAAAATTTTATTGACCAAAATACAATATTTTTTTTTATTCCATACATGCCAACTTTTGAAAATTCCCATGGGGGATTTTGCGCGTGACGATAATTTTCAAAGCTTTAAATTTGCGACATTTTGTCGTGAAAATAAATGTTTATCCCATTTTTTTTAAAATTTATAATATCAATATCACTTGTTAATTAATACAATTTAAGAATAAATAATACAAACAAATGTTTTCCTTCCAAAATTCAAATTTCTTTTGCTTAAATAGGTACCTCTCTCACTAAAGAAGTGATATCTGTTTAGTTTAACAACATTATGTTTGAAAAAGACACAGAATTTGGTGAAAAATGTGAAAATGTACAACTTTCAGTTCAATAAAGTTTTTTCAAAGTTTTAGAAATATATGAGGTTTTGTTACTGTACAGTTTCTGGGAAACATTTGTAAAATTCTATATTTACATTTTACACAATTAGAATTTCCTAATTAGACATTAAATTGAAAGCAATATTGAAAAAATTGCAATGCATTGTGTCTGTGAGGGTGTGTGAGAGAGAGATAAGAAAATTTTTTGTGGTATGTACTTTAAATAGAAGTGTCATTTTATTCCCTATTAATAAGTAGACATCATGATTGATTTTATCACACACACAAAACAAATTGAAGAAATAAATTTACCCTTGAGATCATCAGTTATCTAAAACAAGGATATCCCCTATCCCAAACAAGAAATAAAATTGTTATAATCATGATGAACTTTTGCATAATCTTGGCAGTGTCGTGTGGGTATTCCCTTGTCATATTACATGGGGGGGGGGGGGGGGGGGATTCAGTGTACGTGAGCTATACATGTAAGACTTTGTTGTTTCATCTAAATTATTTTCATGTTATTTTAGCTGGTAAACTTTACAATATTTTTATTACAAGCAGAAAAATTCAGCAGCTATGCTTTGTTGTTTTCTACTTTCGTTTTTTTTTTTAAAAAACAATAAACATGGATTAATTCCGATTTTGTTGTTAGTTTATCATATCACTGTATTTAATTTTTGTTTTTAATAAAATGATATTTAATTAACCATCAAATCTATTGTTTCACTATGCATACCCCTTCTGATTGAAAAGTTTAATCTCCTAACCGCTCCAGGCTATGTTACCTGTACCTGGACAGCTGTGTGCGTTCAAGCGAGAAGTGATTTCCTGTGGCTAATTAACACCTCTGCATGAGTTAAAAATCTGTGTGCATTGAATAAACAAGTCTGATATTCTAATCCCAATTGACAAAATATTGCGGTAGGAAAACTCTGAAAATTGGAAGTTTTAGGTTGAATTTTTTCAAATCGGGAAATTAGGGCAATATTGCTTTCCCGATCGGGAGAGCGGGATCATAGGGTAAAATCGGGAGGATCCCGCCTAAATCGGGAAAGTTGGCATGTATGTTATTCAATCAATTCTTGGTGTGTTACCACATGTGCCACCCAATCATTTAATAAGTGTACATAGGATCTAAGCAAAACTGGGTTCCTGGTTGATGGGAGATACCCTAAATACAAAAAGGCAGAAAATAATGTGTTCATTCCTTACTGAGATTTTTATCATCAATTTTTAATTTAATTTAAAAAAAATGATAATTTACCTCCCTCCCTCCTGGGTCTGAAACCTCCAAGGCAGCAATTCCAAACAAACAATTATTTAAGGATGGCCTAAATGGTCATGAATCAGTATTGAATGTAGATCCAAAGAACACCCAATAAATCACCATCATAAAACGACAATAAAGCTAGGTCTGCTATATGCATTGAGTCTATAATATATGAGAGTGATCTGATTCATTAAAATTGTTTATTTTAGCCCTCAATATCAAGGGCATACAGTATGAATACAGAGCAGTCAATCTAATCAAAGATGGAGGAATGCAGGTATGTATTATAAGTAAAGTAAAGTAAATTAATTCAAAGTTTGCAGTTTAGCTAATTCTACACATACACGTATTTCTTCCATGAACATTACAATTATCTTTAAGGTACTCCAATCCTCAGGTTCTGAAAATCAGGCATTGAGTTATTGAAAATGCTCACAAAAATGTCTCTGAATTCTCAAAGTAATGTGTTTTTACCCACGATAATTCTTCAAACTTCATCTTTAAAGTTTATCATATAATATAAGGAAAATTAGTAAACCTCAAATAAATTTTCAGGAAATGCGAATAAAAACACCTACTATACATTTTCCAATTCAAATATGATCAACAAACACATTTTAGAAATAAAAATCATAGGTATCCAGGCTTTTGAAGGAATTGCACAATTTTTATACTTTTAAGGTACTTTAATTTCTTCTATTTACTTTGATAATTTTACAATGCATAGTGTATAAAGATTTTCCTAGCACTGCAAAGCACCATAAATCACTTCTAATTTCATATCATGTTAATAAACATTGGTATCTATAGTTAAATTAAAATGAACCTTAATTTCTTTAAATATATAATTTTAAAATACTTTTATGGGGTAAAAATTTCGACTTTTTATAAGACCTTTCTGAGAACTTCAAAGAACCTTGAAGCACATTGAGAGGTATAAAATGAAAATTGTTGCATGAAAAGATTTAATTTTCAAGCTTCATTTTGAGACTTTTTGAATTAAATCATAAATTAAAGAGTTATCCTTCCTGGCTGAAGATCGGAGTGCCTTAAAGAAGAATTTATTTAGTTTTGATTGTTTTTCACAGAAAAAAGATGAGTATACCACAGTTAACCCAATGCAGCAAGTACCAGCTCTTATTATGGATGGTGCTACTCTCACACAATCTGTGAGTATTTTACTCAGTTTCTAACTGTCTGAGTAAGATTAATAAAGCAGTGTGAAGTCTAAAGTTTTGTAAAATCTTGAAAATAAAAATTGCTATTGGGAAAAAATGGTGAATCGCACATCTAGCAATGTGTACATATACTTGTATGTTCGGATGATTACAAAAATGTACACGGAATTTTTAGTGGTTTTCCTTTTTTAGCTCTACTGGTCACAGACCAGAAGAGCTTATGCAATAGTAAGGTGTCCATCATTAGTCCATCTGTCTGTCTGTCCATCCATCTGTAAACAATTTTTCAAAATGCTACTTCTCCTACAGTTTTGGTCTGATTTCAGTGTAACTTGGCACATGAGTAGACTACACTAAGATACTGTTTTTTGATTTCAATGAACGATGTTGCCATGGTTACTAAAAGTAGGAATTTCTATGAAAAACTTTCAAAATGCTACTTCACCTACCGTTTTGATCTGATTTCAATATAACTTGGCATACAAGTAGACTATACTAAGATATATAATTCTATATATCGGTTTTTGATTTCAATGAACAGTGTTGCCATGGTTACTAAAAATAGAAATTTCCTTGAAATACTTTCAAAATGCTTCTTCTCCTACAGTTTTGGTTTGATTTCAGTATAACTTGGCATTCAAGTAGACTACACTGAGATACTGTACATCATTGTCTTTATTGTTTTTTTGATTTTGTTGTTTGATGTTGCCATGGTTACTAAAAAATCGAAATTTCTGTAAAATTGTTTTAAAAGGTTACTCCTCCTACAGTTTAAGTCTGTTTGCAATAAATCTTGCCACAAAAAGAGACTAAACCAAGGATCATTATTTTATTTATTGCTGTTGCAAAGTTTCAAGTCCAAGTGCTACTTTTATCTTCCTTTATAAGTACAACCAGTAGAGCTACAGTCTCGTCAGAGACTTCTGGTTTTATTTTTAGCAGTGAGGTGAATTTGCAAAATTTTGAAATTATATAAATTATAATATTAATTATATAGCATTTTGACCCAAATTGGCAAAAATGTAAAAAATGTAAAAATTTCCAGATTTTTGGTATTGCATTTACCTTTTACCATGAAATTAATATACGTTACACTAGTATTCTTGCCAGGAAGTTCTATGTATTATGATAATCTTCCATTAACTTTTAACTCAGATTAGCTATTTTTAGGTCACACAAATCACTAAAGTCACCTATTGCTATGCGTTTTTATCCTCTGTAGTTCGTCATGCGTCGTCTGTTAACCATTGAACATTTTCAGCTCCATCTCCATAATGGTTGAACCAACTTCAACCAATTTTGGTATGTAACTTCTATGGCCAAAGGGGAACAAAAATTATGAATTTCAGAATCTCTGTCCGCCTGGGGTCTGAGGATGGAGCTAAAACCATAAAGATTAAAGCAATCTTCAATATTTTCATCTTACTCTTGGACGTCAAGCAGTCAAACTGTTGCCATGATTATTAAAAACATGGACCCTAACCAAAATTATGAAATTCATCTACCCATGGTCAGGTGTTCTGGTATTACTGGGGAGGGCTCTATTTTTCATATAGTGAAAATGTATAAATTCTTCTTCCTGTTCCTAAGTATTTAGCAGACAAAGTAAGTACATGTACATGGTAATGATAAGCAAGGGAATGTTTTTCAAAATTGTGAAATTCATGTTCCATGGATCAGGGGTTCTTAATTATATGAGGATTAATTTGTTGATATGCATTTCAGAATCTTTTAATAGTAACACAAGTCAATATGCTGAAATTTACATTAATTCTTTTATATCTTCTGTTTGGTATTTAGCAAACAGACTAACTGCATGGTTATGATGAGCAAGAGTGCCTTTATTCAAGGCACCTGGGCTAGGAGTTCTGGAGCTACAATGGGGCTCTTTTGATCATATAGTGAAAATATATCAATTTATGGAAATCTTCTTCTCTGCTTCTGGGTATTTATCAGACAAACTTAGCATATGGTTAAGATGAGCAAGGGTGCCTCTTCCAAAATTGTGAATTTCATGGCCCCTGGGTCAGGGTCCTAGTGTTAAGGCACAGCTTTATTGATCATGTATTGAAAATGCATGAATTCTTTGAAAATCTACTTCCCTGCTCATGGACATCTAGGAAGCAAACAGAGTACAAAGTTATAATGAGCAAAGAGTTTTCATCAGATTTGTGAAATTTTTGACCACTGGATCAGTAGTTCTGGTGTTGGGTCTGGGGCTCTATTGATCATGGAATTTTTTATTCTTCTTTGAGAGAAGTTATTCCCCTTTGTTATTCACCCATGATATATTTGTGCATTAAATGGTATTCAAGGACTAAAAGAGACCAATGAAATAGATTAACGTGTCGTCAATTGGTAATTGAGTTAATTATTGATCCCTAGTTGTCCTCTTTCTTGTTTTTGAGCAACATTTCTTCATCTGTCAATTTAACTTGTTTTATTATATATAGCTATTTATTGCCATTAGATGGATCCTTTACTTGATTGTGTTATACTCAGGTGACGGTTAAGGCCCATGGGCCTCTTGTTGATTATTCAATATGTAACTTCACTTGTAGTTAACACCTTGGGAGTTGACTTGAAATTTTTTTACAATCAGAATCATGATATTTTAAATACCACCTTGATTGCTGACTTTGATTTTTGAATACCCAGTACTGTAGATGTACATTTTTCTGCATGGAATTAATTTACACCATGCATGTTGTCACAAATTTTCCACAAAAAATTGTCTCAACACTCTTTAAGTGCATTTAAGACATGCAAGGGAATTCAAAATATACGCATAATTTTCTACCTTTTTCTACGGATTGAACAGAAATTGTAATTAGGGGAATTATGACTCCATGGAAAAAAGTGTGTTTACAGTATATATTTCATAGTTGATTGTTTTTTAGGGATGTTTTGTACAGTATGTCATTTTATTTTTGCCTTTGTGTGTGCAAATATTTTTAAAAAGACTTGGCACAATGATCTTGATTTTAATATCTAATCAATTTTACCTGTATTTTGCAATCTGGCCATATAACTTTATTAGCAGTTGTCTTGTCTACCTGAAGGGAGGATGTAGATGGTCAAACAATGCAGGAGGAATTGTTCAGACACATCCCCCACCCCACAAAAATTGTTTCGTCAAAGAAGAGGCTAATTGCAAAATAATTATATTGCATATTATTGTATATTGTGGTACACATATAATGCAAACACCTTTTTTTGTAAGGATGTCTTCACAACCAGTAAAACTTGCCAGAAATAGAAAATTTTCTATTTGTGAGCAATTGACAACTGACAAATGGTAGTACATACAAGACTAAAAGAATGCCTTTTCTTCTTAACAGATTTCCGTTATGGAATATTTGGAAGAAAAGTACCCAGCCAATGCAATTTTGCCAAAGGACCCCCTTCAAAGAGCAAAAGTATGTAACTACAATATATTTTTTCATGCTTTGAAAAACATACAACAAACCCAGTTAACGTAAACTCGGTGTGAACAATATATATATGTTATACTCCATCATTCTGATTAGGTCAGGGAAATCTGTGAGTTGATAGCTTCTGGTATTCAGCCCATCCAGAATTTGCAAGTCCTGCAGAAAGTGGAGAAACTCTCTAGTGCAGAGGAAAAATCAGAGTGGGCCAGATTCTTTATAGAAAAGGGATTTACAGGTATTGTGTGAAATAATTATATTTTATTTTTAAATGAGTTTATTAAAACATTTATCTGTTGATATTTCAAGTACATATCAATTAATGCTATAACATGATAATTTATTGACAGCTGGAAATTTCATGAAGCATAGCTAGAGGAAGTACTCTAAAAATTCCCCAACTCTTATGCATCATACATATGTATTTAACCTAAGGATATATTTTTAAACTTTAAAATTGTCTCTATAGCCCTGGAAACCATACTTGGCAAATGTGCTGGGAAATATTGTATTGGGGACACAGTTACTATGGCTGATATCTGCTTGGTGCCACAAGTTTATAATGCAAAAAGGTAACTATCTCTTTTTTTCTCCCCTTTCTGTCTCATACTTTGCTGGAATCTTACGCAAATGGCTCTTAATTTCAAATTTTTCAGTAGACAACTATTTTTTTCTCAGGTTCTCAGCTGATATGAGCAAGTTTCCATTGATATCCAAGATCAATGAAGAGCTAGTAAAAATTGAGGCATTTGAAAAAGCAAGTCCCTTCAAGCAGCCAGATTGCCCAGAGGACTTAAGAGGTGTGTCACTGAGGATATATGATTGAGGCTGTAAAGGCCAGATAGCTCAGTGGGTAGAGCACCAGCTGACAAACCTTTTTTTTGGAGGGGGGGGGGGGGGGTTACAGATTTGAATTGTTGTCTGTCTGTCATACTTTTGCCTCTCCTCAATTTTACCAAATTGACCATATGCACACTCTATCCATGCAGTTTTAGCTCACCTGAGCTGAAAGCTCAAGTGAGCTTTTCTGATCACATTTTGCCTGTAGTCCATCTCTTCGTCTGTCTGTCAGTTTCAATTTCAACCAAACTTGCAACAAAGCATCCTTATGGGATTCAAGTTTTTCAAATGAAGGGCCACACCCTCATTCAAGGGGAGATTATTTAGAAATAGTGAAAATTTGATGGCATGTTTTAAAAATCTTCTCAAGAACAGCAAAGCCATGTTTAGTCACATTAATATGGAAACATCCTCAGGTAGTGTAGATTAAAGTTTGTTCAGATTATGACCCTCGGTGGTAGGGAGGGGCCATAATGGGGGATTGAATTTTTCAAAGGAATATATAGGGAAAAATCTTTAGCTCAAAAACTACAAAGCCATTTATTATATTGGTATGGAAGTATCATCAGGTAGTTTAAAGTTCAAGTCCCCTCCACCCATGTAAACTTTTCAATACTGAACTGGTTTGTGCTTCTTCTTAGCCAATATGCTCAGGTGAGCGATGTGGCCCATGGGTTTCTTGTTAAGTTCAACAGATATCTCATGCAACAGGATAGTTTTGTTTTTTGCATACCTGGTTGGAATGATAGTGCATATGTACTTAATAAGTGGACTATTGCTAAGTCATACTGATTATGAACAAATTTTTTTCCTTGATTAATGGTCATTGCAATGATTGGCCTTCATCCTCTTAATTATTGTAGGATTAAACTACCCTGACTTCAATAGAAAGACACCAACAAATTAATTAGATTTCTGCATACCTGTACTTTAATTTACAGACACTAATGTTTATTGAATATAAACAACAGACTAGCCTGCCCCAAAGTAGTTATATGCACATACACATGTACATGTAGTTATTATACAACCCTCCAACCTGCACCCCCCCTTTTCAATGAGCATAACATTTCAAAGGTCAGACAGTTATTTTACATGTGATTACTATCAATTAATGACATTGGGGAATACAAATTTTTACGAAATCTCTATTAAATTTGTTTTGGTTGCAATTATTAATTTCTATAAATTTAAAAAAAATTGATAAAAAGATTAAAATGTAATTTGATTCCACCATGTCTGATTAAATACATGTACCTGTATATGTATTTTTTGGTAAAAGTTTGGAATTTTATACCAAAAATAACTGCTGAAATAAAGAAGTATTAATACATGGACACTTGACTTACAGTTGACATAGGACCCCAGTAAGTAGATTAATTTTAAAAGATATCAGTAAGTTTCGACATCCCTAAAATAGTAATGTATATCTTTGCTTATTTTATCATTGCAGCTTGATGTTCTCCTGCATGACCAAAGAATAAGTGTGTTCAACTTAGATATGAGAGTATATAATAACTTTTATGCTGAGAAGAATGAATAATGATGTGCCAGTGCAGCTATTAAAGACATTAATATTTACAATCCGTAACCGGTAGTTTAAAAGTGACACTTACTTTGTTACATAAATCTTCATGGTTGAATTTCTCCAGGCAGATAAAAAAATTCGTGTTTTTGACTGATTGGTTTATATATTTTTTTATTCTGCATTTATCATATATGAGCATTATTGATTTTAATTGTGATTCAAATATATTTGTACATTATAAATCACCAGTTGTTAAATGTCTTCATCTCGCACAAAGATGTACAAGAATTTATATTGTATAGAAGAATAAAGACGATCAGAAATTAGGAAAAAATTAATTATGTAAGATTTATGGTACGTTGTGTGATTTAAAATAAAATTAAAACAGAGTAAAGCCTGTATTGATATCTAGGGTGAAATACATTGGGGAAACGACTCAGAGGAAGTAGATATATAACTTTATTATTATATAAGGAAATTTCAAGTTGCATCTACATGTATTTTGTATGTACAGTGTATCAGCTTCTTATATTTAGAAACTGATTTGGGCCAGATAAATATTAAGTAGCTTTCTTCCTGTTTTAAAGAGGTTGTACAACATGTACTGCATAAAACGGGAGAAATGCACAGACTGCAATTTCTTCACTTTTGTAGTAAGTTATTTCCTTCCAATATCTATATACTGGTTTGATTGTAACAGTTCCTATTTTATCTTTCAAAATGCATGTATTTGAATACTAATTAATAGATTACTCTAAAGGGAAAAAATCCCTAACATTTGAGTTCTAGGCCTAATTTGAACCTAGAGGAAAATATTTAACATCAATATTTTTTGTATTAATTAACATTTACCCTTTTTTCAATAGAAATCTTTCATTACGATATATAGCAATAAATAGTATTGTTGAGAAGAGGTTGTGTGAGATCATAATTGCTAGGGAATATATTTGATCCATGTCTTTCCTTCACTGTCATTTTTTAAAAACTGTAGTTCTAAGATATATTGAGATATTTGGGGATGTTGATTCAGGTTTTAATGGGATGTTAGATGTGGGTTTTTTTTTTTTTTTTTTGGTTTGCTTGTTTGTTTGTTTTTTTGGGGAATGGGGGGAGGGGGATATAGCACTGAAATATTATGATAAGTTTCATTTTTAAGTAAAATAATTTTGTTGTTTTCTTTTGTTTTAATTAGTTTTATTGTTAAACATGAGTTTAAAATATCTAAAATGCATGATATTAAAAATTAACTAATTTAAAAATTAAAAAAAAAAAAAGAGAGAGACTCGGAGAGAAAGAAACACACACATTAAAAAAAACCTGTCAAATCTGTCACTGGTTTTTTAAAAGAATTTTGTATTCTCCTTTGGGCTTTTATATATTACATAAATACCAGATATGACGATAAAATATATTTTATACATGTCCAGGGTGAAGGTGAAATTACACAAGACTCAATATAAGAACCGGTTAACCAGACTCACTCCAATCTGAGAACGAGTTGTTCATCATTATTGAAAACGAAAATGGCGATGGAGGAACTGAAGACGAAAATGAATGAGACATTTGGTGGATTAAAACATCTTATGAATGAAAAAATGTCTGAATTTGAGCTCACTGTGGTATTTATTTTTTATTCTCTTACATCATTAATCGTATCTGTCAGCAATGTGATATTTTTGTCGATGTGAAAATGTGCACAAGTACTGGTAGGAGACGCACTGTCCTTCAGTCAGTTTTTCAACGTATGCAAATAACAGGTGTTAATTAGGAAAATATTCCAAAGTGTGTTGAACAAAGATGTTAAATTTAAATGCAAAAATATGTGGAAAAAGTAATATGCAATGAAGGTTATTGCATAGATGCCTAAATAATAAAATACAAGGAACTTGAATTAGGAAAGGTCAGAATAATGAGATGTTATAACAGGTTGGGACCAATCGTCCTAATGGGATATGATATCCCTAATGGGATATAAATTTACAGTGCAAAAAAAATATTTTGGCCATAAATACTGTAAATCTGCATAAATATAAACTGATTGCAATAACTGTTGGCAAGCAAGTTTTTTTTTTTTCTTATATCAGGGACCTGTATATAAACCCTACATTTTGTGAGATTGATCCCCAAGAAAGTTAGGATCTTCAAAGGAATCAATCTCCTAAACAGTGGGGATACAGAAAAACTTGTATATCAAAAGTTATTGCTTTTAAGTAGTTTGATGTGGATTTATAATATATGTCTAAATGAAAAATCTTCATTTTTGCACTGTAAATTTATGGAACGACTTTACTTTACCGGTCCCCAGAAAAACGCGCTAAAATATAGTGTCGCCGTAGGCGACTTCAATATATATGAGATCGCGTGAGCGATCGAAAAAAATAAAAAATATGAGGTTTTAAGCCTCTTTGACCCCAAATTCGAATTTTACGGTTAAAAGTTTAGTTTAAAACTTCGTTTATAAACGAAGTTTTTAACCTCGTTTTCTGAAAAAAAGTAATAAATGTTGTTTATTCAGTGAAAAGGAGACAAAAAATAATTGTGAACGAAGCGCGTGCGGCGCATGCTTAGTGCCGTTTCTTTCGTACTTAGCCATTTTTTTCATGTAAACAAACCAACGAAATGTCGTTGAAGCTGAATTAAGATCTTGCAAAAAATACAGATGCAACTGAATTTCTTAATTAATCTAAAAGAACAAGACACTAACCCTTTACTCTCGGATGGTATGCGAGGACTAACCCAAATCTCCCAGGCGGATGCTAGACCATGCTAGACTAACCCATGTGCGAGGACTAACCCTAATCTCTCGGATATATGCGAGACTAACCCTAATCAGTCGAAAACTTATGCAAGGACTAACCCTAATCTTTCAGGTGGGTGCAAGACTAACCCTAACCAGTCGAAAAATGTGCAAAACCAACCTTAATCAGTTGAGTGACGTAAATCTTACGTCATAGTGCAATGAGCGCGCGGATCTTGCGGATCTGGGGACCGGTAAAGTAAAGTCTACCCAAATTTATATCCCAAAGTATATATTAATGAAGTATAATTGTCATCCCTGGTACTTCGTTATAAGCGTGTTTTACTGTAAAGTATATATTTTTGAACTAATATTTGAAACTTCTGAATGATTACCTGGCATAGTAATCAAGCTAGGGAGATTTTTTTTATCTCCTGAAGAACTATGAAACTAGCAAACATTAACATGATTAACATATTTAATAGATTAATATGTAACATTTTAAATCTTGCTTATGCAGAGCATCATGGTTGGGATAGGAGTCGCCATAACCACATTTATTATCGTCATGTTCTTCGGTGTATGGAAATTAAGGTCCAAAGGTAAGTCATTGCATTGTAAATGCATTACGGGCCCACTCAATATTTGTTGTAAACAGTATTACATAATTGTAATAACATATGATTAGGTAATTCTGTTTATGGCACAGAACATATTATATCTCTGTAATATACTATACACACAATTGTTCTGAAATGATGGTTTTTATTTGACATGTCCTTTTACTGCTTTTTATTCTTACAGATAACAAATTTCACACTTTTATTTTATGAAAGTGTATGCATACATATTTTCTTGCTTTGTGAGATTTATACATATAAAAAAATTCTCAAAGTTGAAAGTATTGTTTCTGTTTTTTGAAAAGTATTACCAAGTCAGACAGGAGGCCCAAGAAAACCACGTTTTAGGAAAAGAGACAAAGTTATGTTTTATGGAAGAAAAATGCTAAGGAAGGTACTCCTTTCTCTTTCTTTTGTATTTGATCCTAAATACATGAGGCACAGCACTGCAGTGGATCATCATATTACAACCAAATAAAAAAAAATCTCTATTTATTCTTCTTATATTGTCTCATTTTGAAATCATCACTCTAATCCTTTATTCTATGAGAAACAGATAAAATTTGCTGTGCATCTTCAAATAGATGTGAATGTAAATCTAATTAAAATGGAAACACTTATTCTTATGTCAAAACTATAATTATACTCAAATGAATGACAAAAATTTTCAAGTCGATAGTCATCTCATTCCTACTTTTTACACAGGTAAAGTAAAGAAATATGAGATACATATTTTGTGAAACTACATTTAATTTTTGATCAGCTGTATTGCATTACCAAAAATTTGGAAAACTGGTTGGTTATCATAATCAAAAATTATTTTCTTTCATTCTGAAAGAATATTACAGATATCATTACCAAAAATTCAAAATGAGTTGCTTATTGAGGCCTACAAGTGCAGGAGCTGCATCCAGAAATACAGTGACTGTGTACAGTGTTTCTGGAGCTGTGTCACTTTGCCAGTATTTTTTTTTTCCACTTTGGGATATATACAAGTACATTGCTTTAACTAATATGCAGATTTTCTTGTTGAAAATTATATTAAAGTGTTTTTTAAGGAACTGTTTCCTTTGAAATAGTGCTGAATATTAAATACATGTAAATCCAATAAAATTACCCTGCTCAAAATCCTCCTTCACCTCTCCTTGGTGAAAATGAGACAACAGTAAAAATGGCTCATGGAATAGGAATTAAAGTAGATTTTCGGAAATGCTTATCTGTGTTTCAGAAATTAAATGACATGATGATATATAAATATGTTTGGTATTGATAACTAAAGAAAAAATTTCGGAAATGCTATATCGATTTTTCAGTGATGCAAATCTGCGTTCTGAGCAAATAGTGACATTTTTATGAAAATTGGCCCAAAATTGGAGAAATTATGAGAGCAATTCAAATGTGACTGGTTTCTTTAAATCATACAGTAAATTTCCCATTTGTTTTTAATATGGTCCATAGTTGTACATTTCTATACCACATATCTGAAATGTATTTTGATGCAATTACTTATCCAGGCATATAAGACATATAAGGAATTCATCTGTGCAGATGAGATTGATTTAATTTATATGTAAATGAAGAGAATATTATAATGCACATGAATATGAAATTCGAATCATTTTGAAGTTAATTATGCAAGAACTGTAACAGGTTCAAAGCTTTACTAGAAAACTAGGACCTCCCAACAGAGGAAAACTAAAGAAAAGACAGATTGTGATGAAGCTCGCCAAAAAGTAAGTTTACCCATGGCTACTAAGGCTAAAAATAGAATTAATACTGTAGTTGTTTCTTTACAATAATCATTTGTTATGGAGTAGTATAAAGGGAGAGGATTTATGCAACCCAGTATTATTTAGAAATCATGTTGAATGAGCATCATCATTATAACTGTGTGATATTCCCTAGCTATTCTGAGCTCCGACAGAAAACCTTGCGGTATGTATATCATGTTCTCTTCATATGTACACGTAGATGCTTGTAATAAGGTACATGTATACCTTCTGTTTATCTAGAAAAATAAATGAGTAAGTTGTTGTGTGTAAAGTGTGTACATGTGTGTGTGTGTGTGTGCCAAATTTGCCCACTTGGAAAGCTTATTAACTAATATAACATTTTGATTTTAAGTTCTTTTGATTTGCAAAAGTGGTAAGTTTCACTTTTATTAACATATTTATTTTGTTTCTGGTTAGATTTCATATGGAAGGAGGTGGGGAGGGATAGATTCTGCCATTATTTTACTCAACAAATTTATCAAATTTTCTAGACAGCTTGTCTTTACCACTGCAGATGGCAGAAGAACCCCAGTTTCTTTTTCACAGTGGTTTATAAGAATATTGTATTAACTTATTTAAACACTATTATATGAACTGTTTTTCTTTTATAGAAATTAGTTTAAAGTATACTTGTACTGTATATTAAACCTTCCTTTAATAGGTTTAAATCATCTGAATACCTTCTTTTAAACAAGTTAGTTTTAACCACATAAACTGCACCATCATGTCCAACTTGTCCATCCCCCTGGATAATTACTCTTATTTCCTATGTAGCTTGTAACCCAAGATTTGATTGGTTAGATAGCTGGGTTTAATTTTCCCTACACCCGACCTGAGCTGGGGGTAAATGCATAGTTTCTCTATTACAAAAAGCAAATAACATGACTTCGTGATGCATCGTAACATGTTGTTAATCTTACTGATAGCTTGAAAAACCATCGATTAGACTTTGGTTCAAAAAGTTTTATTTTAGCCTCAGGGTGTATGGAATAAAACCTGGGGTAAATACCTGTACACCCTTGATTGAACTTGGATAACTAATATTTTATAACTTTTTGTAATTTTTTTTTTAAACTGAGTACATTAACTCAGTTTTTGTAAAAAGTTGTAGTTGCATGTTCAGTACGTTAGACTTTATATTGTTACTCTAATAAGAATAAATCAGCTATCAGGTAAAATACTTTCCGTTGAATGATTAACAAAATTGAAGGTTCACTAATAATCAATCCCCAGTGTATTTTTGAAGTGCTAATGTTTAACCAGAAACAAATACTTTTGCCTTTTATAGAATGTAATGCATTGAAATTCAATTATTTTAAAGCTTCACTTTTACTAGATTTTTTAATTTCTTTAAATTTCTTTATATTATGTGCATTAACATTCTATTTCAAATCTTTCTGTGAGCCATTATATTTTTCACAAAACCCTGTCAAAGTTTTCGTTAGTTTTGATTCTTCATATTTTATACCACTGAAAGTAACATATTCCCCATAAACAAATTATACCAGAAAAAAAAAACCTTACCAGTTTTCAAGCTTGCCAAAAATTTATATTTTGGCTTGCAAGTTGACTGGTACTAGTATATTGAGTGATACTGTCTATTGATAAAATTAATGAATGATGTGATAATTATACTGCATAGATCTGCTTTATTGAATTATCTAATAGCTCAGTATAACAAACCCTTTTTAGCTCACCTGAACTGAAGGCTCAAGTGAGCTTTTCTGATTGAAATTTGTCCGTTGTCTGTCGTCGTTGTCGTAGTCGTTGTCGTAAACTTTTCACATTTTCATCTTCTTCTCAAGAACCACTGGGCCAATTTCAACCAAACTTGCCTCAAAGTATCCTTGGGTAAAGGGGATTCAAGTTTGTTCAAATGAAGGGCCACGCCTTCTTCCAAGGGGAGATAATTATGAATTCATAAAAAATTAATGGCATCATTTAAAAATCTTCTTCTCAAAAACCACTGTGCTTGAAAATATGAAACTTATACGGAAGCATCCTCAGGTAGTGTAGGTTCAAGTTTGTTCAAATCATGACCCCCAGAGGTAGGGTGGGGCCACAATGGGTGATCAAAGTTTTACATAGGAATACATAGGAAAAATCTTTAAAAATCTGCAAAGCCATGATGAGTCATATTTATATGGAAGCATCCTCAGGTAGTGTAGATTCAAGTTTGTTCCAGTCATGACCCCCAGAGGTAGGGTGGGGCCACAATGGGCGATCAAAGTTTTGCATAGGAATATATAGGAAAAATCTTAAAAAATCTTCTTCTTAAGAACAGCAAACCCATGTTTGGTCACATTTGTAGGAAAGCATCCTCAGGTAGTGTAGATTCAAGTGTGTTCCAGTCATGACCCCCAGGGGTAGGGTGGGGCCACAATGGGCGATAAAAGTTTTACATAAGAAAACATAGGAAAAATCTTTAAAAATCTTCTTCTCAAGAACAGAAAAGCCATGATTGGTCATATTTATATGGAAGCATCCTCAGGTAGTGTAGATTCAAGTTTGTTCAAATCATGACCCCCAGGGGTAGGGTGGGGCCACAATGGGTGATCAAAGTTTTACATAGGAATATATAGGTAACATCTTTAAAAATCTTCTTCTTAAGAGCAGCAAAGCCATGATTAGTCATATTTAAATGGAAGCATCATCAGGTAATGTAGATTCAAATTTGTACAAATCATGATCCCCCCCCCCCCCCCAACCAGTTTTATATTTAAACTTTTCAAGACTGAACTGATTTCTGCTTTTTCCTAGCCAGAGTTCTCAGGTGAGCGATGTGGCCCCTGGGCCTCTTGTTTTACTTTAGCAAGTATTTTGGTATGCATATTGTTTATGAATGGAAATGCATGTTGTGGTATTAAGTGATTAAAAAAATATCATTGGATTAATCCTGTTACATATAGTCTCATAAGAAATTCCAATTCTCTGCACATAGAAATATTAAAGATAGATCTTTATCTTAATTGTATCTAGGGTGCAGATTTTTTTCTGTTTTCTTTCATGTGCAAACTTGATTGTCTGAATGCACCCTCTGTATCAACTATTGTTACCTGTTCTAATTAAAGGAGACTTTTATACCTTGTCACTGAGTTCTGGTACATGTACTTTAAGAGATACTAAACACTTTGAAAGTAATTCATGATTTTCTAAACCTTTCTAAACACACAAAAGTGATCAGTTGTGAGCCACTGTGTATTTGTTTAATTATTGCAATTTTGATGGGGAAGAAATTAAAAAAAAAAAGATATAGAGATCCATTTATCCAAATTGTTTTTTCCTTAAACTATTAGAACAAAGTTTGACCAAGAACTTAAATGTTAACGATTCTTTAAAAAATGAAAAAAAATTCATATCAATTCAAATATAGGCTGTTATGTAAGAACTAAGAGTCTGTTTTCTAGGTTACTTCAGATGAGAAGAGACTCCTCCCAACCTCTGCTGAAGGTGAAAGAACCACCACAATCCTTCCTAGAGTTAGATACCTGTGATATTGATGACAGTGAACAGCGGCTTCCTTCGGAGGTCCTCTATATGCTCAGAAGTACAAGGTAAGTCTTCAGGGGTTGAAATGAAGGGTTAAAAATTGCTAAGTGCAAGTGAAAAATCAAAACTGTGAGTTGAGCAAGAAGATTTGTCACAAAATTTAGGAAGTAAAACAAAACTACAAAACAAACTCAAAACAACTTTTTCAGAATTTCCCGTTTGTGTTTGTTTTTGCCTTTGCATGGTTTTAGATTTTACATAAAATTTGTCTTGTGCACATAAATGCTTATCAGAATGACCTAATTACAATGGCAAAGTTGAGTGAATAAAAATAAGGTGAACCATGTTTATACCATCGTCTTCAACTTCCCTCGATATAATTTATTTTCTCCATCCATGAGTCTACTCTGCTCTGTTTTTTGCAAATATAACAACAAATTATTTGTTGTAAATGGGCATTTATTAGAATGCCAAACAAATTAACCAAATATGTACAAAAATTACACATGCCCATATTTGAATATATCCCTTATAAGGATATTAATATACATAACGAAAAAATACAAATATGACTAGAAGAATTGGCAAAAAAGATGGGAGAACAAACAAGCCCAAACACATGGGCATTTCTTAAAATGCCCAACAAATTAACCAAATATGGACAAAAGTTATACATGCCAAACACGCCAATCTTAAAAGCATGTGAAACACACAACAAAATAAGTACACTGTACGATGTATTATAACATCATTAATATAGCAAATCTGAGAACAAGTAACATAACGTTACTTCAATGTAAATACATATATATTATTGAATCAAATACAATTAATTATATATTGTGTGGTTGCAGGGGAGGAGGTGGGTCAAAAATTTGTTTCCATTAGAATGCATGGTCTAGAGATAAACAAGATCAAGTTACAAATCTATAGAAGCAAGAATTAACTGCGGCACTGAAAATTCCGGAAAAATTCTCTATTAAGAGTAGAATAAAAGAGATGGTATAAATTACTTTATGTTGCACATAAATACAATTATACCATCGTCTTCAACTTCCCTCGATATAATTTATTTTCTCCATCCATGAGTCTACTCTGCTCTGTTTTTTGCAAATATAACAACAAATTATTTGTCGTAAATGGGCATTTATTAGAATGCCAAACAAATTAACCAAATATGTACAAAAATTACACATGCCCATATTTGAATATATCCCTTATAAGGATATTAATATACATAACGAAAAAATACAAATATGACTAGAAGAATTGGCAAAATAGATGGGAGAACAAACACGCCACAAACTTGTCGATAGCTTACAAGTTATGGACAAGTGCCCCATCCAGAGGAGATGAATAGGAAACATTAAAACCTCACGAGTAGCGACTAACAGAGTAACATATGTACAAACCATCAGGTGCACGAGTTAACTATACATTTCCTGTGAATTGACAAAATATCTAATGTAGTTCTTGGGGATCAAGTCTACCAACAATCTTTCAGAATTTCCATGTGTACTAATCGCACCCCGTTATTAGCAGACATATTTTTGTATTCATGTTCCTATGTTGATCCTATATACCCCATGAACTCGAAACGAAAGACAACACAAGAGTCCAAAACATCTGCTTCACATTTGGATCTTCCACTAGAAAAAAACGTCAATGATAAGTCAACAACAAAACTCTACAACAAAGTGATGACTCAACTCTTCCTTCATCAACCTCCCTTAGCTCTATTTCACAATAAACCATTATCGCCGGCATATGAAGCCCATGTCCCCCAGCCAACTCGATCGATACACATGCATAAGATTCACGTATGAACTATTTCCAAAATGAGGCAAGCCATTGAAAACAAGTTGGTGAAAAAAGACCATGAACAGTCTTGTCCAAGGTCAACATCTCGCAAACTCCATAGCTGGCGTGATGCCCTTGATACAATTATTTATCTATTTATTTATTCATAATTTTTACAATGTATGTGCTCTTTATCATGCATAGATGCATCATACCGTACAAAGTTTCTAACTGTGGTTATTTTGGCATCATGAAAACTTTACATTGAGGTACCTGGTAAATTATTGAACTTGTGATGATGAATTTTATTTCAGAATTTTTGGACATTTTGAAAAACCTTTATTTTTGAATTTGGTGAAACATATGGAGTCAAAGATTCTAAGATGTGGAGAGTACTTGTTTAGAATTGGAGATTTAGATGACAGCATATATGTAGTACAAGAAGGTCATATTAACGTCAGTATATCTGAGTCGGTAAGTATCCTGTCAACTTGTCATAGCATTTATGAAAAATTTAATTATTTCAAAGCACTAGTGATGCACTGCAGGCTGTATAAAATTTAGACACTGATAAGGGTTTTATTTTATATACATGTTATTTATGAGTCTGAGAATAAAATATATTAATAAGAATAAAATGATTATTAGTTTAATAACTTGTATGATATAACTAGCTAGAACAAAATGTGTGCCCATTTATGTAAGTTTATGTGGCTGAATTCACATTTACTGGGTTCAGTACTTTGATGTTTAAATCTTTGTATTGTAGGATGGCACTAATCACTTAGTAAAAGTCGTTTGTCCTGGGGACAGCATCCATAGCTTACTTAGTGTATTGGATGTCCTTACAGTAAGTTCTATGAAAATGCAGTCTAGTACATCATTTATGTTGGGCATTTTTCATTTCCTGTGGGAAAAAATGAAATATGTAAAGTTTAAGTTTGATAACTCTTTTTTTATGATGAAAGGGACATCCAGCTCCTTATAAGACTGTATCAGCACAAGCTGTTGAGGACTCCACTGTTCTCAAGTAAGTCCAGCTCTGTACTTCATAAATAGCATTTTATGCTGTACAGAGTAGTTTGATATAGAAAATAACACAGAAAGTCTTTTCAGCCCATCTCCACAAAATCAGGGATAGCTTCTGTCAAACTGACTCGGCATTGAAAGCGTGACTACTTAAACTTCTTTTAAGTAGACCTTTTACCAATGAAAAATAAGTCCTAACTAGTCTAAACTTTCATTTACAATGCATTCTATTAGTTATATATTTGAGTTTTTAGAACAGGTTTTTATCTATTAGTGAATATTTGTTTGGATGTTTCTCCTAGTTATGGACATTGTCCTCATTTGTATGCTCATTTGTATGCTGCATGCTACATGTACCTTCATGTATGTTTTACGACAGTTGAGTCAGATAAAATGGAGAAACTGTTGTTTTTACTTTCAAAGGTTGTTTATTGCTGAGGATTTGTCACATTCTAAGGTTATTTGTAAAGGTCAAGGTCGTTGAACAGAAAGTAAGGTATTCTTCTTGGGTTACAACTTAAAGGAACATTTGAAGCTCCTTGTTGACAAAAAGATTTCTCAAACAGTTTTGAATATCATTATAGCCCATTTTTAACAAAGTCAAGGTCATTGCAGGAAATACATGTACTTAGATAAGAAATTTTTGTTGAAATCATGTTTATTATAGAGCAATACTCAGGTAGTCTAGATATAATAATGTGGTCCTTTTTAAAGTGCTTGTTTACCAGCTTTATTACTAAGTGTATAATTTTATGTCACTGATATTTTCAGATTGCCAGCCATTGCTTTCCAGTCAATGTTTGAAAGATTTCCAGAGTCTCTAGTTCGCATTGTTCAGGTTAATGTCAGCTCATTAGGTTCAGGTTAATGTCAGATCCTGTAGTAAGAAATGAGAATTCATGTTCAGTCTGTATACAATTTTAAAAATCCTACTTCCTCATCTACCTTGAAATTGACAGATACATTATGATACATGTAATTACATGTAACATAAAATGATAATTGTATATGTGTTTTGAATTTTACTTGACAGTTGAGGAATGATGCTGGATATTTTTTTTTTTAGATTATCATGATACGACTACAGAGAGTAACATTCACAGCCTTACATAACTACCTTGGCCTGTCTAGTGAGCTCATCAGCTCAGTGAGTATCCTTTACTTTATAAACATTACAGAACATCTGTCAAAGTAGTAATATGAGGTACATAAATGTACTTGGAAATATGTTGCTTTTGGATTGTAAATATCTTTTTATCGAAGGCCCCTTTGAACAAGGCTGGTTGTACCTATAGTATAGAATTGTATTATGATGCCCTCAGTTTTACTTGCATGTATTGCACTATGAAGTTGTGAGTTTTAGTAAGATATTGATATATATACTTTTGTTTAAGTGATATGTAATTGTCTTGTTATGATGTATTCTTTCTAGCAACTTATTGAGGAACTTCATGCCATGAGACAAAAAGATCCAGCTTTCCTAAAACGACACAGCATTTGTGTTGTGTGTACATGCGTATATCCTATTCTCTTGTAGTGTAGCATATATAACTCCCATTGTGTATACCAGTGTCATACTATGGTCTTTGTAAAAGTTAGTGTTAAAAAAATGCTCAAAAAAGGTTACTGAAACATTTTTAAATTCTGCTTACTTTTTTAGGATTTGTAATGATTTAAAGGCTAATATGTGATTTACATATACACTTCTAGAGGTTTTTCTTCCCATGGAATGAATTGGTATACATAATTTTTTAAATGCTGACCTTTGACCTTTCATTAATTAATCCTACTACCCAGGTGTTTTATTTGTGTCACGGTTGCTAGATAAAAATAGAGTTTCATAGACACTCACACAACAGTCACATTTTATGTGTTGGAAAGTGCACTTGAATGATAATGTTAAATGAATCTTTATAGTAATTACTTTTTAAGTAGAGGAACTGTGAAAATTATGTCGAGCAAATAAATACAGTGCTTGTATCACAGAAAAATAGTCATGCAAAATAGAAAATAGAAATGATTTTCAGAGTAAAATTATGCATGTCCTTTTATTACACAATATACATGTTTCATCTATACTGATGAACCATTCATTTGCCCAACATGGATGATATAGTATATATATATAAATATGCATTGTAGATCATAGGTTTTATGGTGTTCAGTGTACAATGAGTTTACTACAGACTCCAGTTTTTATTTAGTAGACATAAATAGACAAGCATGCAAAGAATATCTTGGGATTGGTATCTGGTTCTATACAGCAAATGTTACTCATTTCAAAGAAGCCATTCCTTGGAAATAACTTATCTCCACTATAAATAAAAATTTCAAATTCTGGTTGTTCAGAGGAGATTTTGTAATTCAAAAAAGAAGAATCCCAAGTGAAAAATACTCATTCATAAAATTTCCTTATGATCTTCCTTCAAATTATTTCTGATATAAAAATAATTGAAAATGTATGTGTATACAGCTCTGTATATTTAAATATATGAAATGTACTACTGTTTACAGTTTCATAAAAATTTCATTGTAAATACGTGTACATGTATATCCATATTATTATTATTTTTATCCAAAGAACAGGTTTAATTTTTAGTTATACAAAGATGTACTTTTCACATATATAGACATAAGTAATAAATACAATATCACAAGCCTCCAGTTCTTAAACATTATTTGACCCATACATGTATATACTTAAAAAAAATCAGAGATTTAGGAAAGGGTGAAATGCACACAAGCACAAATTGCTACCTTCTTTGTCTATAATTAACATTTCAGTACAACTGTATTGAAAGTTTCTTTTTTTTTTTCAGAATTTGAAATTAAAGAAAAAAGCTTTTGAGTATACTTATAAGTTTTTTTTTAATATCAACCAAAGACTTGATGTGTACATTTCAGTGCAAATGTGCTGAAAGTTTCTTTGTCATAATTCTGAAATTATTTTTTCAAGAAAAGCTTTTGATCATACATATATATATATATATTGTTATATTAACCAAAGGCTTGATGTGTTTTTTATAGACTAGTAGGTAGATAATTTGATTATTTCCTTAAATTTTCAGTAATAGAAATAAATGTTTTGATTAAATGAGAATGTTCTAGTTTTAAAGTACCCACCAAACATTTATTTTGTATGAATAAGAGTTGATTGTTATTGACAGATGACCCAGAAAGAGATGAGGTCATTGTCTGGTCGTTTCCAGACCAGTCCTCACAAACAGCGTAGCATCGTCAGGGATACCAGCTCACAAAGGGACATAAGTGAGGAACAGGAGGACACACTGACACAAAAACAGCTGACCAGTGAGGTCAAGGACAAAGTAGATGGTGTGTTATTTTAATGGGTTCAAATGGGGTTTGTTAATCAGTCAAAACGCTAACACAATGTTGTAGTTTAGATGTATATTATCATTTGCAATATCAGTAATATCAATATTATCAATTGAAAGCTCTAAAAAATATCTAAACAGTAATAAGTATTTCATGACAGTATGATACATGTAAATCACTTGCCAGGTAGTATGCATGGTAACATTAATAGTTATTCCCCTTTAATTGTACTCGGAGATAAATTTACATCAAAAGTTATCTTTCTTCATCAATGATTATGTACTAGTACAACTCGTAACTGAAATACATAATACAATGAGACCAAAATATACTGATCACTTCCATAATAATACATGTTTATACATACAAAGCTGAACTCAGTTGAACTTTATTCAGTGACCTGTGTATGAATAAAATAAATATAACTTTACTGTATTGTACACTTATTTTCAGAGATAAAAAAAATATACTCGCATAGAATCATTACTTTGAATATTTATATAATCATAAAATAATCATACATACTGAACTTTCATACTTGGGAATTTAGCAGATAAACAATTATATAAGAGATAATGGAATTAGTACAAGTAAACTTAGGTTCTGATCTGTCTTGGTCAAGTCATACTTCAGTCAACATGAACAAATAGATAGAAAGTGTAGGGGGTAATGACCAGTGGGGTGTCATTCATCTATAAATAACTGGAGAAACACTGATTCATTTAAAGAAAGTCCATGTGGTTTTGTTCAAGTACATGTAATCTTAATCTATTTAATTCAATAAATTTAATAAATGCTGTAAAAAATAAATATGATTATGAACTGAATTAATCAAATCCTGAAATATAATAAAAAATAGAAACAAATCATTTTATCACATGGATGATGCATGAAAAAAAAAACCATTCAGTTTCATTGAATATAAACTATGCAAAGATATATTCCATTTATTATTTTGGTTGGTTTTGAACATTTCTTGCGAAAAGTAAAATGGTGTTTTCTCTATCTGATCAGAATTAGTATACAGCATTAATTTTTTTTGAGAAATAATGTGCAGCTGTACATGAGTATATAAAAAGGGAGTTTGCTTTAAGAAATAGTGTTTCCTGTGTTCTGTGTATAGGGGAGACACGTGACGAGACTGATAGTGCCTTAACAGATTTTGCTGCAGCTGCACAAAGAGCCAGAATAAACAGTTTGGATCTGGAGAGCAATAAGTCTCAAGAAGAACCAGTCAAGTCAATAGGTCACATGCCGAGGTCCCGTAACAAGAAGGTTTCAGACACAGGGATGTATGTGTCCCAGACCAGTGTAGACACAAGTGAAGAGGAAGCTCTGGAGTGTGCTAGGAAAGATCTGATCACCTTAATGAATCTTCAGGTAAAAATAGTGACAAGAAGGTTATAAAGTTTTTATTTAAATAATCCAAAAAAGGGAGACATTTTAAAAATTTTATTACTCTCAAAGAGTAAATTTTTGCACTTAATTGTATTTTCATGAATTTACATGATTTGTTGATTGTCCAAAACAAAAATTGCTTTGTATAAAATAAGTAAATCCTACCTTATAATTTTCTTTATTTATTGAAGGATGAGTCACTTTTGGATGGAAAGCTTACCTTGAGAAAATTCAAAGCAGGAACCACAATTCTTAGTCAGGGAGACCAGGTCAAAAATTGTATCATGTATCATGCACTCTGGCTTTTTAAAAATATTTGAATATCTTTGAATTAAATAATTTTTCTTGAAAAGTGTAACAATCTTCCTTTTTTGATTATTCAGGATGCCAGTTTGTTGTTTTTGGTGGCAGGAACATTGAAACTCCTCCAGCATGTGGTTGGCAAAGAACAAAAGGAGGTAAGAAGTTACCTCTTAAACATATAGCTGTACTATCCATAGGAGCCAATCGTTACAGATTCCTTAATTGTCACAAGTTTTATGCCATCGTTAGGTTGTAATAATTAATAAACTGTGACGTGTCTTAATGAGCATACAAATTAACAAGGTACAGTACAGTTTATTTATAAATTACTGTAAACCAACTTTTCTTCGTGAGCAAGAAATATCCCCGATTTTAGCGATCTTTTTCTCGCGAAAATTTCTCGTCGCGAATCAATTATTCACCTATGTATTTATGTTGAATGTTGCCTTGGTCGCAAAAATTAGTAGTCGCAGATGGATTCTAAATTGAAAAATCACGAGTAAAAGACATCACGAATAATAGTTTGTTTACAGTATTAGGTATATTATTTACTGACAGTCATGAGTGCCAAAATGAGATTGTCAGCAGTTTACTATATATTTTGTCAGGCTTTACTGTTCAATGCATATCCTGGAGAGCTTGTGGGAGCCCTTGCTGTACTGACTGGGGAACCATCATTCTTTACAATCAGGTGTAAATATGAGTGTAGGGTTGTCACAATATCCAAAGAGGACTTTTACAGGTAACACAGCATAGGTGTAAAGAACATACCTGTAGTTTACATCATGATTGTGAAGAAAATCACCTGTAACTTACAACATTGGTGTATAATGGAAAATCATAATTCAATGATCTTTGAAAAAGTATAGCTCATTTATTTGTTAATTTCAAAATTATGAAAGGAAAATCATGTAGTCAGTTGTAAAATTTTAAAACGTTTTAATCAGAGATATTGGACATTTACCTGTATTTGATGTTTTCTCTGTAGCATCATGAAAGCCCAGCCCTCTGTGGTCCTTTCGGTTGCTCACACCACTGTGGTGAGGATGACTCCCTTTGTCAGACAAATTGATTTTGCTCTGGACTGGATTCTTACAGAAGCAGGCAAAGCTCTTTTCAGGTATAATCATTTCTAAGAAAGTAACTTGTAAAGTATGATTCAGGCTTGATACCTTTAAATTTCAGGGTTTTTTTTTTTTTAAAAAAAAAACCTGATCTACATAAGACTGAGTTGGAAAATTATTTAAATCACACATTTTTGTTTTTTGAGAAAAAATTAAATGCTATTTGGAAATTGTCATGAAAAGTCTATATGCATATCATATAATTAGAAAGTGTTAATTTACAACTATGTTGTGGAATTCCTGGCACATACATGTACAGTATTTCTGATGAAAAGTATAATATAATTATATATAAATGTAAGTATGATATACATAAATATAGTATAAATAATGGCTGTATATATATTTCTAATTTATCTAATTGTACCATAAAAATTTGGGATCAAGAAATGAAAAATAGTTGTATCTTTCTTTGTCTTTTTATTTTGTAGACAAGGCGACATGTCAGATCATATCTACATAGTCCTGACAGGTCGTCTGAGGTCAGTTATCACAAAGGAGGATGGAAAGAAGGAGCTGGTGGGGGAGTACGGCCGGGGGGAACTGGTGGGAATTGTGGAGGTTCTTACAGAGGCAAAGAGGACCACTACTGTCATGGCTGTCAGGTAAAGGCAATAGGGGGAGGGGTTTCATGGTAAGAGCTTATTGTTTGTGGAACTGTTTTGGATTTTGTAAATGCAGTTGACATAAAGACCACTAATGTCAAGTCTGTCAAGTAAGGCTGCAGATGGGGAAAAGTAGTGGTTGTGGTGGGTTTACTATTGGGGATTGCATAATGGTCATTAATCTCAAGAGTATCACAAATGTCATGGTAATTAGGTAAAAACTGTATGGGGAGTAGGGGTTGAGGGGGGCTTTTGAAGTTGCCCGCATGCCATCTGTCTGTCTGTTAACAATTTCATTGAGGTTTAAAAGGTTAGCCTAACTACTTCTGAGTATACTAAGTGAACTACTGAGTATCACTTTACAGTTGTGATGGACCATATTTAATCTTTTAGTTAAGATAAGATGTGAAAGTGTTTCAGAATGCTCCTCCTCCTACTGTTATGTCTGCTTAGAAGAAAACTGATTCAATTTTAGCCATAAATTTGGAATTATAGAGATAAAGGCTTTAAGTTTGATTAATGAAAAGGTCAAAACTTCATATCTGGTCACTAAAAGTCAAAAATAGAGAATAAAGATCATGTTTGAGTTTTTTTTACTCCTGGAGGCATTGCGCATTTCAAGCAAACTCTCATTGTGCATCTCAAGCATCTCAAGCAAACTCTATATACCGGTATTACCGCTGTTATCTAAAGTATCATTAAAAAAATTGGTTTAGTATTCATTTTTAAATTATAAGAAAATGATTTCAATGGGAACAACCATTTTTTTCTATAAATGCTTATGTTTTGATTGAATTTACTTACAGAGATACAGAATGTGCTAAATTACCAGCGGAATTGCTGAATCTGATCAAACGTAAATACCCTCAGATTGTGACACGACTTATACACTTACTGGGCGAGCGTCTTCTCGGACAGCTACAAAAGTCGTCAGGGCTCAATTCATTCCCGATAGCAGGTCTGTTATACAACATGTTTATAAAAGTCTTAAGAAAAGATTCATGATTGATATATACATTTATGTACCTATGTTAATATATTCTTAAATTATAGATGTATGTCTTGGAGTACATGTATTTGATGCAAAAAATGAGTTTTTTATATATTCTGCCTACTGGATGCATAAAGTTTTACATGAATCTCACAAACCTCTAGGTTAATATTTTAATCTGTATGTGACATTAGAATTGTTGTTTTCTTTGCCTTTTATGTGACTGTTAAAGTACTAGATATATGTAAAAGAGAATTTATGATAATGCATTATAAAGTGCAGTAAATATTTTCTACAAACTTTAATTTCATGTATAGATCCTGTTATGAAAGAGGAGACCTCAGTTGGTAACTTAGCAACTGTGGCTGTCCTGCCCATCAATAAAGATGTCCAAATCACAAGTTTTACTCTGGAGTTACAACATGCTTTACAGGCCATAGGTAATGAGCATTAAAAAGAAAATGAAATGCATAGTACAAGTGTACCAAGATTACCATGTACAATTTTCCAATGGCCAATGAACATTTCAATATGAATACACTTTGCTTCTTAAGTTATTTTATATAAACAGGAAAATGAGTAAACAAACCTAGTTTTGTTTACAGGGGTTTAAAGAATACAATGTAGTTTGTTTATTCCATACCTTACTCTTGGTTTTTAATGATTTATTTCGATAGGAAACTGGCCATTGTGTGATGGCAGGGTATTTACCTGTTGGCATTAATTTGTTTTAGGTTCAACTATGAGACTTACAAGTGACATTGTAAAGAACAACCTAGGAACTGCAGCACTAGACAGGTGAGATCAAATTATCGCAATTTATTTTCCTTAATCATTTTACTCTGAATCAGAGAACATATTCCGCATGTTATATCTGTACTTCTACTTTTTCAGTGTAAATGAGTTTCGGTTGCTGAACTGGTTAGGACAACAGGAGGATATCCACCGGATGACCCTTTACCAGTGTGACTACACCCTCACAAAGTGGACCAAAAACTGTATCCGCCAGGCTGACTGTATCCTCATTGTGGGGCTCTTTGAAGGCGACCCAGCTGTCAGTGAGGCAAGACTTCTTACTGATTAAGTGTTTATTGTACATTGATCATATGTCACTCTTTTGTTGGCCACCTGAGTCTCTTAGGTGGACTGTTATGCAAGTATTCTCATTGGGTGTAGATTCAAGATTGTGTAATGCAATCCCCCCCTGGTAGGATATTGAAACAGTGGGGTTCAAAGTTTCAAAGAAAGTACATGGATAAGGGATAATATTATCTTCTCAAACCAAAATTATTGATTTGCATGCATTTTTGTGTAGTTTAGAATCAAAAATATTCAAACCGTAGTATCTGGAAAAGAAATGGGATTATGGAAACAAAAAGTAGATTCAAAGTTTTACTTTGAAATGTACATGTATATTAAAAATCTACATATTAAAAAAAAATGTTCAAGGCCTCAAAATAACCATGCAAGTATTACTCATAAAAGTAGGGGGCACTGTCAGTGTTGTGAAATAAGATTATTGTGTAATTTATTCAGATTGAGAAGCAAATAGAAAATATGGCAGTCAGGGCACAAAAAGAATTGGTACTGCTTCACAGAGAAGATGCTGAGACACCAATGAGGACAGTAGAATGGCTGAATGCCCGAGGATGGTTGTCATCTCACCACCACATCAAATGTCCAAAACGAGTTCTTACCAAAAGATCTGAAGCTAAAATTGTAGGAGAACTTCACATATATGATACTGTTAATCAACTTTTATTTGCAATATCCTGAAGTTTTGTGACTTTCTTTAACTCATGAATATTTCTCATGGTGAATCATTTATTTGCTTGTGTATTTATATAGAGTATTGTCTCAGTCACGAAAATTAATAGTCTTGGATTGATTACAAACTGAAAAATGATGAATAAAAATGATAGTTGTTTTCCAGTAAATACTAAAGAAACATTGTCATTTATTTGATTAAGTAGAAATTCTCTATGTAATTTCCTTATTTGCTTTATTTTTAATTCTTTAGTTTGAGCTATATCAGAAGCATATGGAAACCAAACCAGACAGAATGACTGACTTTTCAAGGCTGGCTCGATTTTTAACAGGAACTTCCATTGGTGTAGTACTTGGTGGGGGTGGAGCAAGGTATTATATGAAAACATGTTTGTCATGATAATTTATTTTGTCCTCACTAACAGGGTTTTGATATCTACTACGAATCTGTTATTTGATTTTAGGGGTCTTTCACATGTTGGTATGGTGAGAGCTTTAGTTGAGGCGCAGATACCAGTGGACATGGTAGGGGGTACCAGCATGGGAGCTTTCATAGGAGCTTTGTATGCAGACGCTGTCAACTTGACCAGCTTTTCACAAAGAGCAAGGGACTGGTCCATTGTAAGACAGATTTCTTTGCAGTTCTAAAAAGTACATGTATATACAAGTACATGTACATGAAAATGGGATTATTTATTGTTGTAATATGCACATTTTATTTGAGCTCACTTAAGCCAAAGGATCATTTTTGTCCTCAGTTATTAGTCCCCTACCGGTGAAACCGGAGGGGACTATAGGTTTCCTCTGAGTCTTTCCGTCCGTCTGTCCGTCGTCTGTCTGTCTGTCTGTCCGTCTGTCTGTCTGTCTGTCTGTCCCTCTGTCTGTCTGTCAGTCTGTCCCACTTGGTTTTCCGCACTTTTTTCCTAAACGCTTGCAGATATTGAGCTGATTTTTGGTATGTGAGTGTATCTTGATGAGTTACAGATCAAGTTTGCATTTCGTTCCGCTTCATTGATTTTTGACGGAATTACGGCCTTTTCAATTTTTACGGGTTTTCCGCAATTTTCTTCTAAACGCTTGTAGGTATTGAGCTGATTTTTGGTATGTGGCTTTACCTTGATTAGTTATAGATCAAGTTTGCATTTCCTCCCGCTTCATTAATTTTTGACGGAATTATGGCATTTTCAATTCTTAACTGGAACCAGATTACACTTGCTGGTAGGGGACTAGTATTGCTAATGCAATACTCTCAGAATGCTTGTTGATTTATAACTTCCTCATTTGACTTCTTTCCCAGATTCACAGCACCAGTTTCAACCAAACTTGACCAAAAGCACTCCTGGGTAAAAGAAATTCAAGTGTGTTTATTTGTGTAGATTTAAATTTCTTACTTCATTGCCTTCAAGGTTGGGGAAGAGCCATTATTGAGGGTGGAAGGGTGGGGGCAAAATTTACCAATGACAGTTTTATATTTAGAAAACTGTAAGTCTTAAAAACACCAACACAATTAATTATTAGAAATAAATATCAAATATCAATGCAGTGTAGTTGAGATTCAAGTTTCTTCAAATCTTAGCTCCTAGGCTTTCTTTGGGCTGCTTTAAGAAGAAAAGTTTATTAAACATAAGAATGTGTACAACTTATTGATATGATATTATATAATGATATTGTCAAATCAAATCAGTATTTTAATCCTCATGTTGCATAGATTTAGATTTTTTCAGTTCATGACTCACTGGAGTTTGGATTTTAGAGTTTAGACTCGTCTTTTTACATACAATTTTAAAAATCTTTCAAATTTTCTTCAGTAGTACACTTTGATATACAAAATATCTTAAAGTTCCTCAAGTCATAGTCTTTAGAGCCATGTTGAAGGATGAAAAGAAAGATGGCTCTGGTGACCATTGATTGTAATCTATGGAATTTTGTTTTTCTTTAAGGGTATGACCTCTCTATGGAAGAAGATCTTAGATATAACATACCCAGTCACTTCAATGTTCACAGGTATATACAATAAGTAAATCTGTTTTGGCAAAAGAAAGAGGAATGTTTTGAATGTATGTATCCTATATGCTACCTAGACTAAAAATTTTAGGGTATATTATCAGTGCGTGTGTCTCCCTCTGTAACAGCCTTAAAATCTGTGAGAATCATTGAAGTATGCAAGTTAGACACTACAGATTTCTTGGAAGTAGAGGTTAAAATAATAAACTATTTTGTTTTTAGGGAAAGCTTTCAATGACAGTATAGAGGAAGTCTTTGGACACAGACAAATTGAGGACCTATGGATACCCTACTTTTGCATCACGACTGATATCTCTAATTCTTCCATGAAGGCCCATACTCATGGTACACAATCATATTTATATCCATGTATATGTCTTCTAGTTAAGAATTTTAGCATTCAATATTTTGGCGTTTTATTGAATGCTAAAATTCTCTAGAGTTTTAGTAGTTTTTCATTATAGACTATTTATTAGCTATATAATAAAGAGTTTTATCACTTAATCAGTATATGATGAGGTTTATAGTGTGGTCTACATTTGCCAAAATGTTTGTCAATTTCAGATTTTCTCTTTTTTCCTTTCTTCTTTTTTTGGAATTCAAAAAGGTTCAAAATGCTATTACAAGTTTCAGTTGTTCCATCATACAGTGAAACATGCTTACAGTGAACATGCTAATGATGACACTTAAAGCGAAGTGAATTTCATTTCCGGTGGCTTTGAAATACATTGTCTTGGCGTTTTATTGAACTCTGAGTTTGTAGTACGTAAATGAGTATACCCGAAACATTCCGAATACGAGCGTTCAATATTGAACGCCCCGTTGTAAACAAAAAATGTTGTCTGGTCAACCTCTCAAAGGCAAATTTATGAGAGGTAGTGGCAGCTAGGTAAGATTTGTTTATTTTCACACAAAATTGAAAATTAATTAATAATTAAGTATGTACCCGGTATTAGCCTTAATAAAACATCAATGAGCAAATCATAACGCTTGGTAGGGTCATTGGAATGATGCGATATTGAACACTTAGAAGACAGACATTAATTTAAATACCGATACAAAAAATTCCTATTAATTTGAGTTATTTAATTGAAATAATTAATATAAATCAATGGGAGATGTTTTAGCTATATAATAAAGGAGTAATTGAATATATATTGGTGAATATTTGCACGGGTTCGCTGTACAAATGCACTTGCAAGCTTGTGCGTTTGTACAGCCAACTCGTGCCAATATTCACCAATATCAGTTCAATAACACTAGTATATTCTTTGAATACATTTACCAGGAACGTACATGTATTTAAAAAATTTCTTTCTTTAGACCTTGTATGACTAGTTTAGTACTGATTTTTTTTATTCTTGGTTTCTAGGCAGCTTATGGAGATATGTCAGGGCCAGCATGTCCTTGTCTGGTTACCTGCCCCCACTCTGTGACCCAATGGATGGACACTTGCTACTAGATGGGGGATACATCAATAATCTTCCTGGTAAATATACTCTCCAGAATGTTTGGAATCTTGTTGAACAAGTAACCCCCATTTAGGTTAGATACATATATTTTGGGCTACAGTCTGTATAAGTAGTTTCAAATGTTCATAAGGTAACATGCAAATTGATTTTAAACATATAAGATAGGTTTCATTCATTGAATTGTTCCAGAATTGTTGAATCAAATGTAGAAATAACAAGCTTAAATATGTTTAGAAAGGTATCAATTGGAAAAAATAACTATTTGAAATATTTCTTCTACCAGGTTTATCCGTTTCTACATGTAAACTTCAATTTTAATGAAAATTTGCCCTGGGAATGAGTTTACATGATAATAGTGGATATAAGCATAGTAATAAATTATTACTTACACATGTAATATCACAGTCATTTTTGTCTGGAAGATTATTACTAATAATCTTCTAGACAAAAATGACTGTGATATTACATGTGTATGAACCAGTATATGCTACAACCATAATGGGAAACATAAATGGAAGTTAAATATAGCTAAATTTGAGTACTCGATGTAGTCGCAGAATCAAGAAATAGTAGGGATGTCAACGAGTACCCGGTTAACCGGGTACTCGATCGAACGTCCGAGTATCGAATACTAAAAATGGTACTCGGTTACTCGGAAGTGTATTTTTTTCTTATTTCAAAGTACATATTTTTATCAAAAACTTATCAATAACTTAAATATGCATACGGTAATTGACGTGTCGTCATCTACACCTGTAAAACACCCGTTATCGCCTGTGGCTGTGTATATACAGTAATTAGTGACCAATCACCTGGTACACAGCTGTTCTCACCTATATTGTGGTCCTTAATTTTTGGATGGCTTCAATGATTGTTTTCAGTGAACATAGTTTAAGTATGGTCTATAATCTTAACTGTTTTTTAAATTATTTAATTGATATGCGGTAGCAAAATCGGACATGCATTAGAAATGCCGCTACCCACTTCAAAAAAGAAGAAATATTTAGAAACAACTAAAGTTTAAAAAAATGTTGAAAGTCAGTTTGCGTCGTAAGTTTAGTGTATATGGGGGAAACAACCAACATATGAAATGATATTAGACTAGCGATCCCAACAACGTCCGTTCCTTCCCTTTCGCTAGTCTAATCACCACAAACCTGCATAACAGATTGTCTTCCTTTTGTGTTGATGAAATAGATCCTAAACAAAAACTGTAAACCATTTGTAATTTTTGATGTATTAATTGTGTCGTTTGTGTTTATTTGGTAAGTAAATTTAGTACCAAAAAATCATTTCCCTTTGACTCAACTGTTTATATACATTTATAAACGTGAAAAAAAACCAGCTTTGAGGTTTAACAGAGCTTAAAAGGGCTCAAGAAAATTAACACACTTGTATGTATTTTCCTTTTTACCGAGTACCCGGGTACTCGATCGGAAAAACGTCCGAGTAACCGATTATCAAAAATTGACCGATTTGACATCCCTAAGAAATAGTGAATAAATTATGTTAAAAAGTTATCACATACAGGGTGAGAACTTTCTTTGTGATCGCTTGAATTTAAAACCACAATGATATGTCAATGAAAACAGAAGCAAATTACTACAACCACAAATTTAAGCCATTATAAGTGTCATTATGAAATGTTTGAATCAGATGGATTTTGCCCTGAGAACATATTTGAGAGTGCATTTATTGTTATTCAGCTGATGTAATGAAAGCTAAAGGAGCCAGAAATATATTTGCCATGGATGTGGGAAGTATTGATGAAACTGACCTAACAAATTATGGGGACCAATTATCTGGTTGGTGGTTACTATGGAAAAGATGGAATCCTTGGGCTTCACCTGTTAAGGTGCAATTAGTTTATTTCAGTTAAAAAGAATTAGTTTTGAAATATGATTTTACCTCATTCTTATTAGGAACTTAAATGTTCTGGACTTTAAAATCTATATTTCATTTGAATTTGAAGATGGCATAAATGTTTTTATGAGTAATTAAGAAGGGTTTTTATGTTGAAGTCTAGTACATTTTTCTTTTGCACACCAACATTTTCTGACAATACAGTGGTCTCTGTAATCATCAGTATTATAACATATTTGTTGTTTTTATTTCAACGTGTGATGTTAGGTGCCAGATATGGCGGAAATTCAGACCAGACTGGCCTATGTTTCTGGTGTGAGACAGCTAGAAATGGTCAAAAACAGTGACTTCTGTGAATATATCAGGCCACCTATAGACAAGTATGGCACTCTTCAGTTCGGAAGCTTTGATGAAATCAATGTAAGTTGATTTTTTTTTTTTTTTTTTTACATGTACAAATGTAGTAAAGATTTTGGGGGGAAGAAATTTCCCCCATTTTACTAACCTTGCAAGTTTTCTAGCTTCCTTCAGTATATTTATAGAGAAAATTTGATATAAACAAACAATGCAAAGGAAAGATTCAAATTTGTGTGGATATAAGAGAGCAGAGAATACACTGGGATTCCATCTTGTTATCGTAATCCAATAATGAATTTTTAAACTGAGGAAATAAAAATAGATTACCTAATTGGTAATCCCCAATCATAGTAAATGTTAACCAGAGGCACAATAGCAAACAAATGAAAGTGTTCAAGAATTGTCTAATTTAAATTACATGTATTTCTTATTATAATATAATTCTTTATCAATAACACTGGAATCTTATCCATGCTAAAAATTTTCTATTGAGATCATTATATAGAGCAAAAAATCACACGATTTTTGACAATGAACTCTAATTATATTGTAGGAGGTTGGCTACAATCATGGTAAAACCTTACTATCAGGGTGGATCAAAGGGGGCCTGATTGATGAACTATTCAAAGACAAGCATTCTGCTCACTCCTCCAAATGTAATCTCCACAAAGCTCAGGTATGTTGTCAGAGTGTAGCATCCACAAAGATCAGGTAACTTAAATCAGAGTGTAGCATCCACAAAGTGTGGCCTTCAAAGAGTTCAGTTAGCATCCACCAAACTCTATAGAATCCAGAAATCTCTGGTAGATGGAGTACAGAGTGTAGCATGTCAAAGGTAAGTCAAGTTATAGTGTAGTCTCCACAAAGCTCAGTGAATAGCATCAGTTAAGTCAGATTGCAGCATCCACAAAGATGAGATAGGAAGTGTTAGGGACATTGAAGGTACAGTTGAACTTTGGTATCTCAAACACTAATATCTCGTAATGTTTTATTAGTAAATCCCCACATTTACATTATCTAAATTACTGTATGAGAGCTTAATAAATGACAAAGGAAATTATACTTTTCTTGTTGCAGACATATATGCCTGCCATGGCCAAGTTTACAGATTTAGCAGAGTTAGTGTCACAGATTGAGAAACCTAAACAAACAAAGAGGCCTACCTTCTATGGAGAGAATGATGATGAGTATGAAGATGAGTCAGATGGTATGTCACTTTATGATCATCTAAAGATTAAACTAAAATACTATGCCCACATAGGAACTCTTCTATTTTGTTGTTTGCCAGATTTTCTGTAGGAAAAATCCAGTTTAAATACTGAAATGGTGGGTGGGCAGGCGGCTGCCAAAGGGTTACATCATTTGTCTGGGTAACTTCCCCCACCGTTTTCAGGATAGGAAGTTTATATGTTTGAATATCAATTATGCATATATCAGAAATGGGCATAACACTTGGATTTTGAATTTTGATCATTTATGAGAAAAATACCAGCTGTCGAACTTTTATGCAAAATATACTTATAGGGTACATGTACATAGATATTGTTGGGATGTTTTCAGAATTGAACATTTTTTTTTTTTTATAATTTATTTGAGAAATACCACAAAAGAAAATGCTGTTTGCTGTTACATTGACAGCTTTACCCTTGTAATTTTTTAAATTAAGATTTTTTTATTTTTTTTGCATGCAAAGGTAATAATGCCTTTCACTTTTCAATTATTATCTAAAAATTAGAGACAAAGATTTTTTGGATTTAGAATGAATATAGATTTAGACACTTCAGACTTATTTTGAAATCTTGATTGACTTGAATGGACTTCCTGATATTCAGATTCTCTCTCTGATGAAGTACTAATTGAGGAAGATGAAGAGGAGGAAAATGCTGAGGAGGAAGAAGCCAAACAGGTTATCCAGCCGGAAAGGAAATCCTCAAACCAATCCTCACATGCAAGAGAGGTAAGGAATATTAAGAAATTTAATGGGAATTATTTTGAGGATTGATTTCTTCTATTTATTCATTTGAAAGACACAGCAACACATACTTGTGTTGTTCATATGTCCTCTGTAAGTGCTCTCAGTAAAGTTTCTAATATCAAGAAACATTGTATAATTTATGTTGAATGCCCATTAAAAATTTAATGAATAACCAAAAGAATGTATAGTGAAAACATACTCCCATGAATTTTAAATGCCTTGAGAGTGTCATTTTTGAAAGTATCATTCATTGAAAATATTTGATTTATATTTTGCCCCATTCCTCAGGCCCCAAAAGAGGGGGGGGGATAAAATTCTTAATTTTTATGCCCCGCCATGAATATGGCCGGGGCATATAGTGTTTGTCATGTCCATCTTCTGTCCTTCCGTCTGTCCTTCTGTCACACTTTGCGTTTAGCTCTGTTCAAAGCTCAGTTTCAAAGAAACTATCCAAGATATTTTTATCAAACTTCATATGCCGATAGATATTGATGTAAGCTCTTCAACTGCATCAACATTTTTTGACCTTGACCTTTCCTTTGACCTTGACCTCACTTTTCTTTAATTAGTGTTTAGCTCAGTTTTAAAGATACCATTCAAGATAGTGTAATCAAACTTCATATGTTGATGCATACTGATCTAAGCTATTCAACTGCATCAATATTTTATGACCTTGACCTTTCTTTTGACCTTGAACTCACTTTTCTTAAATTAGTGTTTAGCTCAGTTTTAATGAAACAATTCAAGATATTTTTAATAAACTTCATATGCTGATACATACTGATGAGAGCTATTCAACTGCATCAATATTTTTTACCTTGACCTTTCCTTTGACCTTGACCTCACTTTTCTTAAATTAGTGTTTAGCTCAGTTTTAAAGATACCATTCAAGATTGTGTTATCAAACTTCATATGCTGATACATACTGATGAGAGCTATTCAACTGCATCAACATTTTTTACCTTGACCTTTCCTTTGACCTTGACCTCACTTTCTTAAATTAGTGTCAAACTTCATATGCTGATACATACTGATGAGAGCTATTCAACTGCATCAATATTTTTTGACCTTGACCTTGACCTCACTTTTCTTAAATTAGTGTCTAGCTCAGTTTTAAAGAAACCATTCATAATATTTTTATCAAACTTCATATGCTAATACACACTGATGTAACCTTTTCAACTGCATCAACAATTTTTGACCTTGACCTTTCCTTTGACCTTGACCTCACTTTTCTTAAATTAGTGTCAAACTTCATATGCTGATACATACTGATGTAAGCTATTCAACTGCATCAATATTTTTTCACCTTGACCTTTCCTTTGACCTTGACCTCACTTTCCTCAATTTGTGTTAAAATGTTGCATTACTAATATACCCTCAGCGGGGCATTCATGTCCTATGGACATATTTCTAGTTACTTATGATAAGGGAAGCTTTATATTATACACATCTATAATTCTGTTCAATTATTCCAGTTGCCAAGTGCCATGAGAAGGAGGAGTTCTGGGGGAAAATTTGTGACCTACAAATTAGACAAGTAAAAACCGAGACCTCCAGGGACAGGTTGACTGTGATAAGAATTTTTCTGTGATAAAAAAGTCAAAATCCAAGTAACAAGAGTGTTCAGGAGCATAACACTGGTTATATGGAACATTTTCAATCCATTACCTGTACTAACAGATATTTCAAAAAAAATAACACAAACAAAATCTCATGCGGGTCTCTAAACAAAAAACATCAAAAGATTAGATGTTCTGGTATCATTATATATGTGCTTTATTGTTTGCAGTGCCAAGTGTAATTATAAATGTCATTGCTACAGTGTGCCTCTTGTCCTGCGAAGTCCAGTTTACAGCCCTAAGTGTTCTTGTCAATGTGTATGCTCCACAATATCAATGCAAATTATAACAACTTTGTATCTGTGTGTGGAAGATTTTATTCTGTGTACCAATTTGATTTGTTAAAGTTATTCATGTGTTTTGTTTCTTAGATTGAAATGCACTTTTTGAATGTTTTTTTACCTTAACATTGACTCCCAAGTACTATTAAAATGTATGGCATGTATTACAGTATTGAATCTGCATGGAACAAAATAATGGCATTTACATGTATGTACTTCTTGATGATATTTTATTGGTTTGAATTCACATGTAAACCTATTATAATTTTTTCATGCAATTGTTCAAAATAAAATTCATCACTGGATGAAAAAAGAATTGAAGAAAAATTTACCAATGGTTAAATTTCAAATATTATCCATGTGTTTTTGACTGAAATTAATATATACACAATATCATTATGATGTTTTTGTTCTGTTTTGATATTGATTATGATTTTTATTCTTATTTTCTTTTTAATGACTTGATGTGTTACATGTATTTGAATTATAGTTACATGAACCTCTTATTATTTACCTCATGCTAGGTCAATCAAGTTTATCTAAATGCATTTTTAATGGCAACATAAAAGTACAGACACAGTACACATCAAGGTGATACATGTACTTCTATTGTATTGCAAACAGAGGGTCCACTTTTTAATTGTTCATGTCCCAAAAAACTTTTGTGGAGAATGAGTATTTTCTTAAAAATTAAATTTGTTTTAACAAATATTTAGCAAAAAAATGAAAAATTGTCAAATCAGAATAATTCATTAGTTGAATAAATGAATAATCTTCTCTATACTTCAATTTGAATGGTGCTTTATGATTCATTTGCCAATTGTGTACATGTAGATGTGCATATACATAGGTTGTTTAACAGGGCTTCATGATTTTATTATGACCTTATTCATTGGTATTTTGTACTACTCTAGGCCGATTCTAATGGAATGGACAAGATGGTTCCTATAAACTCTAGTAATTTCATTGAAAGGGTAGTAAGTGAAGCACAGTAACTACTTGAGCAATTGGATTTATTGAACAACAAAACAATTTATGTCTAACAAAACTTCATTATGGACAGTCCCAAAATACATCCATGTACCTACATAAAAATATATTGATTAGTTTGTACAGATAATCAAAACACCAACAAATTTAATTTCCTTGTTTGAATAAATATTAACTGAACATGCCTTTGCTGCCACTACACATGAAACTTTCATAGTTATGTTATTACATTTCATATTTGTTGATTGATTATCAATATATAATGCATAAGTATTTAGACATGCAATCTGTTTCTAATGTGCAAAATAAACCAAACAATATCATATTATGTCAATTTAATTCAATTATCAATTAATAAGGAAAAAAAAAATCAATATTCTTCAGGCATTTTTTTCCAAAAATGCCTAAAATAAAAGGTAAATCAAATCCTAAGCCACTTGACAAAAGATTCACAATAATAACGTCACATAGATTTTAAAGTAGAAAATTAAGAAATCACTTCTTTTTTTTTTTTTTTTGAGGGTTTATGATCATTGCAATTGGAGCGAGTTGTAAATCAGGTATAAATAGCTTTACTATACTTATTTCTATGTACTAAAGTAATTACTTAGATCGCATCTATAATCTTAAATATTCAATCTTCAAGACGTATTACATGTATATTTACATTTTAAACTACTTCGTTGATTATACGACTTAATGCCACTAATTTTCAAACAAAAACAATTTTTAAATACATCACAAAATGCTCAAGGATATGACATCAAAACAACTTAACACATGTCCTGTATTGATCACTGATCACTGTGGACAGCTAGTACTAGTATATAGACCTAATATAACCTGCAATATCCACAGGAACCAGGATTCAATCAGGATTATAAATTTGTACTAAATAGGGAAAAACATGGCACTTTTTATTGGAATCTTATTCCTTGTATGATCAACTTAAAACCAAAAACTAACCTGAGAGACCTGGGAATTAGAAAAATTCACATAGGTTCATTACATAGTATTAATATAAAAACAATGTGATAGATGACAAGAATTTCTGAGACATTATGCATTTTTCATTACCGGGGCAAATAAGGTGTACTCTAAATCCTAAGCAATGGACCAAGCAGACAAAAATTTCTCAGTTTTCATATATTTAAAGCATGCCGTTGGCCCGCCTCAAGTGAAATAGGGGAAAAAATAAGTAGATAAATTTTCTATATACCACCAACTTAGTCTGGACCCAGAGTCAATGAATTTTATAACTTTAAAAGGCTTGTTGCTTTTTATGATAAGGAAAACAATTTGCCTGTTGTTCAAGAACAGAGAAGATGGTTTGAAGACTGCATGATTTTTTTGGCTTTTGCTCATCTCGAGCCTTAAGACCAAGAAATCCACAATTTTTACTCCCTTCATCCATAGATGCTAAATAACAAAACTAATTACATTATAGTTAAAGAGAAAAAGCCGACAATGTTCTAACAATTAATGACAAAAAATGATAATAAGTTATCAAAGTCACTATGCAGAGTGACTTCTAAAATTGTCCTCCAAGTGACTAAGGCATTCTAGAAACTGAAAAAGCTAATTAAAGACAACACTTTTTCAGCAAATAGTTAATGGTGATTAAAAACACAAAAAAAAAAACAAATGAAAATTCACACACAGAGGAATGATGATAGGCATTAAGGTGTACAGATAATAAAGAAATGAATAATTTGAGGTAATTTAAGGTACAATAAAGAAATCACAATCAGCACAATTTGAAAACTAGAAATCTTTCTTCTTCTTTTCAGCTCTAAATAAACAATCAGTAGTTGACATTTAAAAAAAAAAAAAAGAAAACTGTTATTTGAAATGCTTGTACAGTTCCTTCATCAACTGAGAAATTTCTAGGTCTGGATTGGACTGGAATGTTTTCGCCATGGTTGTAATATGCCGTTGATTTAAACCAATGAGTTCTCCAATTCGTAAAACCAACATGCCAAATCTCAGCTCCCAATTATTAAACTTTTCTGCAAATAAAAATAGAGAAAATACAAAATGTAACTAAAGAACTGCAAATGATAGAAGTGTTTGCAGTCTACCTCCTGATCAATTTTAAAAAATTATCATATTCCAATTAATTTTTGAATTTATATAGATATTCATATCAACTTTCATAAAATTTGAATTATTTATCAAAAGAAAGAAAGATAACTATATTTTTAGTAACAACTCAAGAATCAATGGAAAACAGAAAATATTTTTAAAACATCCCTCCCCCCCCCCAAATTCCTTTTTACAGGTATTATAAATTGTTAATTTGCAAATTCATACGGTTTGTTCCCATTTCGCCTTAACTGTAAAATTTGGTATTCCCATTTCGGGGAGGTCAATATTACCGCTACATTGCGAAAAATTTCAACTCATTACCGCTACTTTTCTTCGAAATTTCAGGTGATCATTACCGCTACATTTTATAAAAAAGACTATTGCTGATTACAACTCATTACCCCTACATATCGAATCAGCCAGCAATGGCAAAGAATATAAATTCTACCCATTATAATTCATATAAAAGATTTCCAGACAGCAGTACGTCAAGCAAATGGCCTTCAAAGCTCTATCAATTACTTAAAGACTGTGTGTTTTATCCATGAACAATGCTCGGTTTTAACACTTTCTAGCTGTTTTATTAATTTTATTAAATAAAATAGATTTTAAATAAAAATTGAAAACTAAAACCAAGAACATTTTGCTCAAAGTCTTACTTTCAACTCCCCGTGGTGAGCAGGGGAAACATGTCTTGTGGATGTATATGTTGTGCTATAAATCAATCTGTACATGCATCGAAAGAGGCAATGTAGCGGAAATGTATACGTTTAAATGTAGCGGTAATGTAACCTTTTTTGTAGCGGTAATGAGTATGTAGCGGTAATGATAATTTTGAAAATGTAGCGGTTATGATACGCACCCCCATTTCACCTTAGTAAGCTCTGAGGTAAATCAAGGTGAAATGGGAACTTGTATAAACATCTAATTAAGTCTAAAAATATTGTTTGTGTAGCAGGATTATTATGAATCTTAAATTAAGGAATTAGTAATTTTATGAAACTCTTGTGGAGGTAGAGTTGACAAAAAGATAATAAAGTTTTCTTTTAAATATCATTTATTATCATTTAATATTTATTTATTTTTAATAATAAGCTTAATATTAATAGTGATAAAAAATCAAGGAGCACATTGTTAAAGAGAACATTAATGGAAATCATTATTTTTATAAAATAGTAACTATTATGTATAAAAAAAAAATATTATTCCATTCACTGTATGCATAAATTAATTCCCATTTAAAGTAGAATTTACTTTTTTATTTTCAAATGTACAACATGTATAACTAGAACTGTCCAAAAGGGACAAATACCCCCCCCCCCCCCCCCCCCCCCCCCCCCGCTGGTTTTTCAGAGAAAGTACCAAATCACTAATGTTTTCTAGATGTGAGAGGTGTTCACAATTTCCTTAAACATTTACAGTGAAAATTTAATTACTCATTATATATTTTTATACGTCCGTCTTACGACGGGACGTATTATGTTATAGCGTTCATGTTTGTCCGTCCGTTAGCTTTTTCATGTCAGGCTCATAACTTTAATACAATTATGCCTAGAATTATCAACCTTTGTCAGCTGATACATCTAGGGTAGAAGGTGTGTCGCACATTAAAACCATGTCGTTCTGACTTTTAATAAAGACGCTATGGCCAAATATGGAAAAATCATAACTAGAAAACCATTAGACTTAGAATCAAAAAACTATGTCTTTTAACTTTTAAATTACACAATCCCAAAAGATGTCAGAGTATTGCAGTATCTTTATTAAAAAAGTGTTAAATCAAGAAAATAATAGTCTTATTTTTTTCATTATGTTCTTTACAGCAATCTGTAACAACAAAAATTCCACCTCTCCCATGGGTGTAATGATCAGGCACTCGTCAAGGAAAATTTTGATAGCAGAAAATTGCATGTCAAATTAGAGATAAATTAATGAGTTTAGTGTGAGGAGATAACTGGCAGAGCATCTCTGGTCAAGCAGGTGTTATCTACATCTCTTGGGAAATGGGCAAAAGGAATCAGTCTCTTAATTAATTGCTTTTGTTGTATTGAATTGTTCTTGTTGGCAAGTCTTACTTTCAAGATAAATTTGATGTAATTAAAACTAATTTGATATTGTATATAATAATTAAAACTTATATGATATTGTATAATATAATTTAAACTAATTATTTATTGTACATTTTTTATTTGAATTTTTATATCTTTACAACAAATTGCAGACTGCCTTGTCTCGCTAAGACGTCATTCAAACAATTGAATCTAAACTGTTTATGATAATTTAACAATATTTGATGGACGTATCATGCTGTGGTGGGGCACTTTATTAAATGAATGAAACTAAGGTGCAGCCTAATAAAACATCAACACTAATAATTACAGTGTTTTTTATTACATTGAAAAAATAGTTTGCAACTATCTGCCATCTTTGTGAGACATGACACACAGCAAATTGATTGTTGAAAAAAAAAATATCATAATTAATTATAGAAAATCAAATTGATTTTAATACCTTTATATCAAACTCATTTTAAAAATAAAAGGCTGGTTTTAGTAACTATGTATTTTGACAGACATAAATTACAATTAAGAGACTTAGACAACAGAGATCTTTATTTCTTTCTGCCCAATTCCCCTGAGATATAGATAAGACCTGCTTGATCAGAGATGCCCTAACAGCTTCCCACACTGAACTCATTAATTAATCTTTAACTAGATGCATGTCCACTCATTACTCCCAAGGGACAAATGGATTTACACTATCTGCTGTGTAATGTAAAAACTGTTTTTAATACTTTGTGTTTTTTTTAGCTCTAATGAGTAGTTTTACGCTGTAGTTCACATTTTTGTACAGATGTTCTAGATTCTATGTCTCAAACCTTAGACATGAACCCGAAATGACTAAGTCAATAAAAATTAAAAAAAAAAACACCTGTAAAATGCAGAAAAATTATCAAATAATGTTGAAAATACCAGGTGCACATCTTCATATGGTAAATAATAAGTGTACAAATTTTCATACAAATCTATGCAATAGTCTCTGGGAACAGATCCAGACAAAACCACATAATAAAAATGAAAAAAACACCTTTAAAATGCAAAATAATTATCCAATCATAATGAAAATACCAGGTGCACACCTTCATATGGTGAATAATAAGTGTACAAATTTTCAGACAAATCCTTCCAACAGTTTCCAAGAAATGGTCCGGACAAAATCTCGTCTACAGACAGATGGACAGACGGACAGACAGACGGACATGCTGATTCCAATATACCCCCCCTAAACTTCGTTTGCGGGGGGTATAATGACTAAATAATCATTTTAAATACCAAAAACTGTGTAATTAACTAATCATTATAAAAACACCTCATCAATTTTCAAGGTTTGCTTTTACAATAGTATTATTAAGAAATTCCCAGTTCGCCTTAGTACTTTTTTTACTTTTTCCTACCTATATTTCACAGTTAAGGCGAAATGGGAACCATTCATACCAGAGCTGTTCTTTCTTTGGGAGGAAGGGGGTATATTTACAGACAAAAATACACCAAAAAGATTTTTAAAGACTGTTCTTCTATATTTCAATATAAAACTTTGATTCCCTATTGTGGCCCCACCCTAAACACGGGGGCCATGATTTAAACAATTTAGAATGTACACAACCTAAGGAAGCTTCCAAATAAGTTCCAGCTTTTCTGGCCCAGTTGTTCTTGAGATATTTTAAGACCCCACCCTATTTTTGTCTTTTCTTGATTAGCTCCCCCTGGAAGGGGACTTGGCCCTTCATTTTTAAAATTTAAACTCTTCTTCTCCCAAGAATGCTTTATACCAACTTTGGTTAAAATTGGCACAGTGGTTCGTAAGAAGAAGTTGAAAATGTGAAAAGTTTACAGACAGACGGACGGACAGAATATGATTAATCGTGGCCCTGCTGTTCTTGAGAAGATTTTTTCCAGTATACTGTACATGTACATAAATTGGCGTATTCAAAATTTAGCGCAATCACTGGGTATGGAGTTGTTGGCGAAATCATAAATTAGTGCTATACATGTCCGTACCGTATATTGTATTTATAGATGATTTCTTAGCAGTATTCATGAATTAGCGCATCGTTGTTTGCGCTAAAGCCGCTAAAATATGAAGCCTGCTTTTTTAAGTACACATACAGTATTGCCATGTAAAACTTTGATCCCATATAGTAGCCTGGGGTGTGTCTTGATATTGTCTGAATAGTCATTAAATAAGTGCTTTATTATACTGAAGCAAACTTTACATGTGTCACATCACGATGTGGATAAAAGCAGAAAAGTTCTGAGATAAAAAGCGAGGGAAATTGAATGCTTCTGGTAAATAGTTCAACAACAATTTCACCATGGGCAAATATCACAAAATCTATTTCTCAGTAGAGGCTGTTTACAAAAAATAAGCAGGTTTATTAGTCATATTTTCATACAGAAAAAAAAATCACAGAGGTACATTAAATCACTCTATATATATATATATATATATATATATATATATATATATATATATATATATATATATAAAGCACTAAAAATGACCAACGACACGAACAATAATAATTGTCAAATTTTCGGGACAACCTGTCCCTTCCTCAGGACAAAGAAAAAAGTTAAGAAGTCATAAAAACAAAGGAAATAGAGAAGCAAAAACAACTAGCACTACTACTAAACTACCAAACACTAAATATTTACAATGTTACATGTTTAATTTTGAGTTTATAGACAGTTGTGAACAAAGAAATCCGGAGTGCTATGAATTGCGTCCGGTCTATCGGGTGTACTCTGGTGAAGTGTGATTTACATAATTGAACGAATTAATTATCGCTAATTAATTACGGCCAACAGTAAATCGTACATTGTCTTATTCTCTCAACATAGCGTAACTCTACATGATAAAAAGAAATTAAAGAAAGATAATATGGAAGGATAATTCTGAAATATGAATTTGGATATATTCTAAATTTGGAAATCGGAAAAAAGAAATAAACAAAAATGTGAGCTGTAAATATTTGGGTAGGTTGTTCCAGGATTACTAATACGAATTAATGGTAAAGTTTACACTATATAGAGAGAATGAACTTGTTTGTTACAATTCGGGATTGGGTCTAGTTCACGTTCATCCTGGTGAAGTCATTAAGTTTGTTAATACCATTAGGGCGGAATGACTTCAGCCTGTGCATCCAGAACTTTTCCTTGCCTTTTCTCTGCGCGTCTGTCCATCTTGGATTATGGTCAATAACCACTACTGTCATGTCCTCCCATTTGTGACCTTCAAGGTTGAAATGTTCCCCAACGGGTTCATTGAGTTTTTTGGTCCTAATGGTAGAACGGTGATTATTGACTCTCCTGTGGAGATCTCCTGTTTCACCAACATACTGTTTGGAGCAAACTTTGCAGCTGATGAGATAAATGCAGTTGTCTGTTTGACAGGACAAATTCCCTAGTATTTTGTAGCTGCGGCCTGTAACGGGGCTGTTAAAACTGTCTGTGTCAGAGCTGTACTTACAGAGAAGACATCTTCTGTCAGAGCAAGTTTTAAAGCCCCCGTTAGGTAATGGATTGTCCAATCTGGTTCTTACTACCATGTCCTTCAGGTTCCTCGGGCGCCTGTATGCAGCCAATGGGGGCTCCTTAAAGACCTCTGCCATTCGTTTATTTGAGTGGAGAATTGGTAGATTCTTTTGAAGGATACCGCTGAGGTTCTTAAGGACGGGATGGTATGTGGTTACCAGAGGGACCCTGCCGCTATTGTCTTTTTCCTTGTAGCGTAATAGGTTTTGCCTGTCATGTCCCGCCCTTAAATGTGTGTGGGGGATGACAGCTAGTTGGCATAAGATACAGATGGGAATCTGTGGGTTTCGTGTGGAGACTGAACTCGATTTCACCATCAGTCAGGGTAGATGTAGTATCTAGGAATATGTTTTTCGAATTAGATACGTCTACTGTAAATTTGATAGACTGATGAAAGGTGTTGGCGAATGAAATGAATGCCTCGAGGCTCTCGTGACATTCCACCCACTTCATCTCTATATCGTCAATGAAACGCAACCAGCTAAGGGGCCTACACATTTAAGGGTGTGCCTAAGGGTCTAGCCACCAGAATTCGGCGCATCTGTTCATCCCCTGCCTTATATCAAGAACAAAGCGGTCTCCTTAAGTCCCACTTATGCAAGAGAGGCTACAATGCCCGCACCGTACAAACTGCTATTGATGAGATGGCGGGACATGACAGGCAAAACCTATTACGCTACAAGGAAAAAGACAATAGCGGCAGGGTCCCTCTGGTAACCACATACCATCCCGTCCTTAAGAACCTCAGCGGTATCCTTCAAAAGAATCTACCAATTCTCCACTCAAATAAACGAATGGCAGAGGTCTTTAAGGAGCCCCCATTGGCTGCATACAGGCGCCCGAGGAACCTGAAGGACATGGTAGTAAGAACCAGATTGGACAATCCATTACCTAACGGGGGCTTTAAAACTTGCTCTGACAGAAGATGTCTTCTCTGTAAGTACAGCTCTGACACAGACAGTTTTAACAGCCCCGTTACAGGCCGCAGCTACAAAATACTAGGGAATTTGTCCTGTCAAACAGACAACTGCATTTATCTCATCAGCTGCAAAGTTTGCTCCAAACAGTATGTTGGTGAAACAGGAGATCTCCGCAGGAGAGTCAATAATCACCGTTCTACCATTAGGACCAAAAAACTCAATGAACCCGTTGGGGAACATTTCAACCTTGAAGGTCACAAATGGGAGGACATGACAGTAGTGGTTATTGACCATAATCCAAGATGGACAGACGCGCAGAGAAAAGGCAAGGAAAAGTTCTGGATGCACAGGCTGAAGTCATTCCGCCCTAATGGTATTAACAAACTTAATGACTTCACCAGGATGAACGTGAACTAGACCCAATCCCGAATTGTAACAAACAAGTTCATTCTCTCTATATAGTGTAAACTTTACCGTTAATTCGTATTAGTAATCCTGGAACAACCTACCCAAATATTTACAGCTCACATTTTTGTTTATTTCTTTTTTCCGATTTCCAAATTTAGAATATATCCAAATTCATATTTCAGAATTATCCTTCCATATTATCTTTCTTTAATTTCTTTTTATCATGTAGAGTTACGCTATGTTGAGAGAATAAGACAATGTACGATTTACTGTTGGCCGTAATTAATTAGCGATAATTAATTCGTTCAATTATGTAAATCACACTTCACCAGAGTACACCCGATAGACCGGACGCAATTCATAGCGCTCCGGATTTCTTTGTTCACAACTGTCTATAAACTCAAAATTAAACATGTAACATTGTAAATATTTAGTGTTTGGTAGTTTAGTAGTAGTGCTAGTTGTTTTTGCTTCTCTATTTCCTTTGTTTTTATGACTTCTTAACTTTTTTCTTTGTCCTGAGGAAGGGACAGGTTGTCCCGAAAATTTGACAATTATTATTGTTCGTGTCGTTGGTCATTTTTAGTGCTTTATATAAATTTCCATCCATGACCTTGTATCTACTTAGTAGATCCGACACTTAGGATATACAGTGTTGTTGGTTTTTAGTGCTTTTATATATATATATTTATATATATATATATATATATTCTACCTATGTGAATTTGAATTTTTGAATGCTGCACCTGGGAAAATATATATATATATATATATATATATATATATATATATATATATATATATAAAGCACTAAAAACCAACAACACTATATATCCTAAGTGTCGGATCTACTAAGTAGATACAAGGTCACGGATGGAAACTTGTATAAAGCACTAAATATGACCAACGACACGAACAATAATAATTGTCAAATTTTTGGGATGACTTGTCCCTTCCTCAGGACAAAGAAAAAAGTTAAGAAGTCATAAAAACAAAGGAAATAGAGAAGCAAAAACAACTAGCACTACTACTAAACTACCAAACACTAAATATTTACAATGTTACATGTTTAAATTGGAGTTTATAAACAGTTGTGAACAAAGAAATCCGGATCGCTATGAATTGCATCCGGTCTATCGGGTGTACTCTGGTGAAGTGTCAGAGTAAACCCGATAGACCGGACGCATTTCATAGCGATCCGGATTTCTTTGTTCACAACTGTTTATAAACCCCAATTTAAACATGTAGTAGTGCTAGTTGTTTTTGCTTCTCTATTTCCTTTGTTTTTATGACTTCTTAACTTTTTTCTTTGTCCTGAGGAAGGGACAGGTTGTCCCGAAAATTTGACAATTATTATTGTTCGTGTCGTTGGTCATATTTAGTGCTTTATATATATATATATATATATATATATATATATATATATAGATATAGATATATATATATATATATATATATATATTCTACCTCTGTGAATTTGAATGCTGTACCTCGGAAGATAGTTTCTGTCTTGGGGGACAATACACTTGCTATTGTCCTCATAGCCAGTATTTTAGTAGATATATAACATATCATGATAGTCCCAGTGAATCATGATATATCATGATCTACTTCAGCTGTATCGTTACACCCCTATAAGACACCCACCCTATTTTTGCCTTTTCTTGATTATATCTCTTTTAAAGAGGACATGGCACTTTATTTAACTTAAATTTCTCTCACCCAAGAATGGTTTTAAGTTTGGTGGAAATTGGTCCAGTGATTCTGGAGAAGAAGTCAAAAATGTAAAAAGTAACAGATGGACAGACAGCTAGACAGATGGTGGAAAATTGGTGATCAGAAAAGCTCAATTGAACCTTTGGTTCATGTGAGCTTACAATTGAGAAATTCCATAATGTCCTGAGAATTTTAATTAAATGTAATATAATGTGCAATTTTTACATACTTTCCTCATATTCTTCTAGGAATGTCATTAAATTCTTCTGTGCCTCTTCCACACTTTCTCTTTTCTTTAGATTCAGTGCATCTGCAACATATTGAACAACCAATAATCTCCAATTATATGCATTACTGTAAATTTTCCTGCCCTTAGGACTGACTGATGCATAAATACAGTAGGTTTCATAATTTTTTTTTAAATGTCAAGAAATCAAAATAATGGCTCTTAATTTAATAGATGAATATTTAAATACAAATTAGGGGGAGACACCAATCTTTTCTAGCATATCTAAAGCTCGTCCTGATAAATGCCATCTGTAGGATAAGCAGTTTTGTACAAAATAAAATTTCAAGCAGAGGCATCTTAACAATATGAAAACCTTGCAGGAACATGTTTAAAAGATTTTATGCACTTACCTATGGCAAACTAAACTAAATGATATCAAGTTTACAAATCACAGCTTTGTTATTGAGAATGTCTATATATATGATCCACCCTTGTCCTTGTACTCTAGGGGCCAAGAACTGTACAGAAGTGGTGAAGTTTGATTACCAACTTGAATTCATGAAAGTGTGTCATCCTTGAAAAAAAACTTTAAAGACTTTATCAAAGTATCCCTATGTAAAGTTTGGACTCATCACTTAAGTGCCACACTTGTGCCCATGACTTGAACAAATATGAATTTAAAACATGTGGGGGTGTTGCATATTAATTTATTAACCATGTTCCTGCTCTTTTTGATTAGAAAATTCAAAATAATTTGTTGCTATATAATCCTATTTTGACCCCTTTAATCTGCCCTTATTTGCTGTCTCTTTACTGAACAATATATATGTGCGATACAATACTCCATATCAAAGACCAGTCCAAAAACTTGTATCACGTATTAGACTGGCGTGCAAAAATACATATCAAACCAAAAATCACTTTTTTTAAAATGTATAAAATTTCATTAACTTTATCAGGGTAGTTTTAATGGTACATGTAAAAATATGAAGAATTAATAATAGAAAAAGAACATCAAGTTATTAACATTGTAAAAATAATACTTATTTTTCATGGTGTAAAAATAACATCTGTGAAAATACATGTATCAATATTATTCAACTGATAAATTACAGTGTACAGTACTCATGAACATGTTATGAGTTACTATATAGGTCTACAGAGAAGTGCCAATTCTTTTATCTATCGATTTTTTACCTGCATTGAAGGTCAGTAATCCAGTAAGGCAGGTTATTTCTATTTCATCAAATGCTACTGTCTGCATTAGATTTCCAACATACAAAAGATCTTCTGAAACAGCTTTGAATTGTGGGAAGTAATCTAGGAGTATCTTTTCTTCATACTTTGTGCAGCCAAAGAAATTGTAATCCTTTGTCTCGAGATTGAATCTACGTGACAGATTTAAGATCCCCACAGAGTATAAGGAATCTTGGACCAAAGCAATTCTGTCATCCAGATCCAGAATTCTGAAGGCTGTAAGGAAAATTACTATTTTTTATATAAGTTAATTTTTCTGAAAACATTCATACTCTTAAGGAAATGAATGATAGGAGAGTTTTCATTTTGGTAGAGAGGTTCTAAAGACAAAATACTGTAAAATCATCTATTTATTTTTGTGGAGTCAAATTTTCATGGCTTGAGGAAAAATAATTAGTGATCGGGATTTGAAACTGTGGTTAAAGAAAAAACATTATACTGTGGTATGAAATTTTTTTTTTTACGTAGTGGGGGGATATGAATTCATGGATCTCTTCATTCCACAAAAACAATGAAAATTTAACCCTCATGAAAATAATGATTTAACAGTCATAAGAATAAATAAATGCCAGGATAAAAGATATAGGTTTCCTAAATTACTAGTAAATACTAGTAAAACCTTAAGTATGTAAAGGCCAAGCATTGCCTCTAAAGGATGATGGTATTAAATTATTCACAGTAGATTTCTCAAGATTCATATACTGTACGTGTACATAAATTGGCACATTCAAAATTTAGCACAATCACTGGGTATGGAGTTGTTGGTGAAATCATGAATTAGCGCTACACATGTCCGAGCCGTGTATTGTATTTATAACTGATTTCTTAGCGGTATTCATGAATTAGAGCATCGTTGTCTGCACCAAAGCTGCTAAAATATGAAGCCCGCTTTTTTAAGTATACATACAGTACTTTGCTGTCATAACCTTAATCTTGTTTATTAAAGGTTATAGCCTATTAATTATTAAAAAAAAATGATACTGTGTATGCGAAATAGGGTAATAATATTTCAAGTTCAATGAAAAAAAAATGATAGAAATCAAAATTGCTCAAAATCAAAGATGATATTGACCTCCAACTTCTGATATGTTGTAGGAATGTATATTATCTGTGTGTAAATTACTTAAATTATCCAGTTTCATGAAGTTTATCTTTCATTTAATATTTTCAATCTGCACTTCAAAATCTGCTCTCCAGAGTTACAGTTAAAAATTTCAAGTCATTAATGCTTTTACTCTTTAACTGGAAATGTTAAATAAAAAATTGTCCTTACCTGGAAACATTTTTAATGCAACTACAATCTGTGATGCGTTATAGTTGAATAAATCATTTAATATTTTCCAAACAGCAGTTTTGCTACCAAAACCTTGTCCAAAAATTTCATCATATCCATCTCTCTGTAAAAAAAAAAAGAATATGACATCATTACCTTTCTTCTTTCAATTCAACATGCTTTTTTTCTACACGACTAAAACAAATAAAATTCATAAGAAAGGAGGGCATATTTGGTATGTAATCTGCAAGAATCATGCACACAACTACTCATCATTCATAGTTTAAATGTCCAAGTGAAACAGACAATTTGGTCAGCTGACCACAGATGGGCAGACTTTACATAAAATTCCTGAAATGTGTCTAATCAAAAAATAAAATAGGAGGTGCACAGTGGCACTATATAATAAAGAATGTCTGTGAATCTGTGAATGGTCTCATTAAATTTTATTCAGTGATATAGGAGGAGTTGCAGATGGGTACCCCCAAGTGTTTTGGATGGATGGAAGGACAGACAGATATAAGCTTATAATGTGGAATTAGAAATTTTGGAGATACAGAAACCCCCTTTGAATGACAGACTGGTGGTCAGATGGAGTTGAGTGGCTACATACTGCTGTTGCCATGCAGGTAATAAAGGTGCAATTTTTACAATAAACTTACAGATCCAACTTTTTGTAATGCTGTGTCGATGTCTTCAATATTCCTTTTCATTCTGTAAAACCGCTCAATCTTTGAAGATGTATTAACCTCACAATTCAGAAACCAATTACTGTTACAACCATCTGATTTTTCTTGCAAACAACAACTTCTGCTCCACTTAACATCACTATCTTCAGGTTCATCCTTAACTTTTATACTTTGTCCTAAATTACTTTCAGTTGATTCAATACTCTGCTTTGATTCATGGTCATACATCTCTTCTGGATCATTTCCTGAGTTTTCTAAACAAGAGTCTGAAGAAGGTGAGGTGAAGAAGTCCATATCTGGGTTATTTAAACGCTTGAAGTCTATGATCTTACTACTGCTTATGCTGGCAGAGTTTAAACTCTTTCCTTTTTGAAGTTCAAGGTTAATGGCATGCTTTACTGAATTCGGCTGTCGTCCTATTCTGCTGGCTGAAATTAGAGATTGAAAACATTTAAAATCAGTTTAAGTCAATTAAACTAGAAGTCTCTGGTGAGATTGAACCTCTACTGGTTTCAATCATATCAAAATTAGATGTTCTGAATCCACTACTTCTTCTCAAACATCTAACAAGATCCCATTCGAGGTCATGTCAGAGGGATCTTTCGATTAGCCAATGAAATCGCTGCTGCCGAAATCTTGGCTTGTAGTTCGCATGTGTTTCTTCTTCACAGCCAGCCTTAACAGCCTGAGGAATTTTCTAGTAAACAAATTATGGCAAAAGCTATGCTATGTATGAATGTGACTTGTGGGATATCTTGTATCATTTGTGCATTTTTGTTTACATTATTCAAGGAAGAAAGGTGGATGGGCAGACTATTCTTCAATTTATACCACAATTAACTTAAACCAATGTAAGACAGACTACTAAGATGTAGCTGTGGAACTGTTTTTAGAATCCTGTACATATGCTTGAAACTGATTGGCCAAAATTTTCATGTTTATTCATAATTGAAAGGTCGTGCTGATGTGACCCTGAATGGGATGTTGTTAGATGTTTGAGAAGCAGTATCGAATTTGGAATGACTAATTTTTTAAAAATCAGATTGTACTGGTTTGTTCTTATAACAAAGGAAAGGTAGCTCTTGGACTTGAAACTATGGCAACACTTATAAATAAATCATGATGCTTGGTTTAGTCTCTGTGTGGCAATTTTTTTTGAAATTTAACTAAAACTTACAAGGAGTGTCTTTGAAAGAATTTCACAGATTTTTAAAATTTTGTTTAATCAAGGCAACACCATTCTTTGAAATCAAAAAAACAATAAACAGAATTAAAAATGTATGTGTCTTAGTGTAGTCTACTTGTGTACCCTGTTTTACCGAAATTGGACTAAAATGGTAGGAAGAGAATATAAAAAATAATCTTCAAAAGTAAAGCTGAAGGGTATAGGAAAGTCAAGGTCAGAAAATTATTGACAGAGTTGGATTGCTCTTGACAATATGTAAAAGTTGGAGATGGAAAAAAAGTTTAGGATGGGGAATCAGGGGTTGTCACTTAGACCCAGGGGCCGGGGAATTTCCCCGCCAACATTGACATAATCCCCCGGGTACTCTGTTATTCCCTCTCAATCCCCTGTTAGAGGAACCTGAGATCCCCTTCTACTTTTTTAATGTCCCCTGCTATTTTAATTCTTAGGGACAGCCCTGGGGAATATAAAATAGAGATGGTTGGTAAATTGAGGAACCACACATCTTTTTTTTTCATTTAGCTTTATTGGGAAACAACTATCATTAAATTGTCAGTACCAATGACTTGGAAAAACATGGTATTGCTGTGTCAATATTGGCATCAATTTTATTTCCCACACTTGCACTGGACTTCATCTAGTTATGGGGAGAGGGAGGGGTGAGGAGAAGACATTTTCCTAAGTCAACTTTCCTCAAATACTGTGAAATCACAAATTTTTGAAGGGGAGGTGTATTTTTGAATTCATTTTCGAACCCACAAATTCATATCCTCCAAGAAATGTAAAATTTCAAATAAATAATAACTTAACACTTCTTCATCCACGAAATCAAATCCCCGCAAACAAAGATTTTTTCCTTAAACCACAAAATTTGACCCCACTAAAATACGCGATTTTACAGTACCTTACATGACTCTCCTGTTTTAAGAGAGGTCGGTGTTTCCTGGAAGGGAGGGGGGGGGGGTCCAAGGTCATTGATTACTTTTACATATAAATTCAATAACTCTGAAAATAGACCCTCAGACCTCGATTCCTCTAGATCTGCCCCTGATGAGCTCTTCTGGTCGTTGACCAGTAGAGCTAAAAATTGAAAAACAGTTCAACACTAATCTTTGAAAATTTACAGCATCATAGTAACGAATACCCATCTTTAGTTTAGATTATGTTTAAATACTGATGGATATTGAGCAGACAGTATCTTTCTTATGACCTCAAAATGAACAGGGAATATTTACGTTTTAGGGGATAGCAGTGTGCCAAATTTGATGTCTGTCAAGCAAAGGGCTCTCGAGATATTGAGTGGACAACACTTGGTCTTCCAACCAAGCAACACATCTACTGACCAACAGGTGGAAAGGGAGGCATAAAATGCTAATACATTCAAAAGCTTACACACATCAAACTTTGCATGTGCCAAACAGGAATAAATAGCATGTCAACCAAGTTACCTAGGTGACCTAATACAAGTCATGCAAACCTGAAACAGTACAAACAAATTTAACAATAAATCTATCATAATCAATTTTCATTTACCTTCTACAGACATTCCAATATCAAGACACTTTTGGTAGCGACAGGCCCTGCATGTGTTTCTTGTTCCTGTCGTGACTTCACAATTACGAGATTTTGGGCAATGGAATTGTTTTCTTCCATTTTCTTTCGCTATACGTCTGAAAAATCCCTGAAAAGAATTGATAAAATATGCAAGTGAAAAACTAAAGCATTATATAATAATAATAAGCATAATCCTTTTGATAATTGTTCTTTCTAATGGTAAGGTTTGAGAATTTTAATTTACAGTCGTACCTGTTTCAGCAAAAAGGATGACTCGTTATCATGTATAACCATCTAAGACCACAAGTTTCATTTGTAGGTTTTGTGTACAAGCATGCACACAAGAAAAGTTTTGCCAAACTAATATAAAGATTTTTTTTATTCTCACAAAGTGATCATAGCTTAGGGCCTAAGCCCCTGTCCCAGGACATGTGAATTTCAAACTTTTGGTAAAGGGCAAATTGTTAAACACAGTAATAGGTACAGTGTAGTAGAGCTTCAGTCTCAACAGAGACTTCTGATTGCTTGCTTGTAAAGATACTTAGGTGTAAACCACTCCCCTTCTCACCATGTGACCTTCCCAATCTGAAAACTTTTTCTTAGTGCCTTGCAAGTATTGCTGTGAAGGCTTTCTTATTAAACAAGAGGCCCAAGGGCCTTATCGGTCACCTGAGTACAATACAACAATTTAGAGGATCCATAAACTGATAAATGAAGCTCTGTTGCCCCAAAACAAGAAATATAGTATGATTAGCATCAACAAAATAATAAGTCTAGTATCTATCTGTCTCATTTATCACTATTACCATGCAGACTATTTAACAAAATGTCTACTTTTTAATTCCATATTATTACTTCTCACATTGGCCTCTCTTGGCTTTTGAAGAACTTTTTAAAAGATAAGAGATTTTTGTCTCAATTTTATTCATCTATTATTTCCAAGTCTACCTGATCATTACAAGAGGCCCAAGGATGTTGAATCGCTCTTCTGATAAAATGTACAACCTATCACTTCTATTTGAAGCCTATAAGTATCCTGTATACATGAATTTAGATAAAGCCTTGAAATTCCAAAGGTAGGTCATCATGACCTACATTTTAGATGAAACACTCTAAGAACCCAAGATGATTTTTAGCCAATTATTACCTTAGAGTAGGTCATGATGACCTACTTTTCACTTCTCTGAGGACCCAAGATGCATCAACTAAGTTTGATGATTCTAAGCCAATTAATATCTAAAATATTTTTAAAATTATAACCATAAAATTTCAAAAATAGGTCACAGTGACCTACTTTTTAGATGACATACTTTGAGGACCCAAGATGCATAGACTGACAAAGTTTGATGATTCTAAGCCAATAAGTACCTGATATATTTCAATAAAGCCAAAAAATTTCAAAAGTAAGTCACAGTGACCTACATTTCAGTCAACTTACTCTGAGGACCCAAGATGCATAGACTGACAAAGTTTGATGATTCTAAGCTTATTAGTACCCGAAATATTTCATTATAGCCATATAAATTGAAAAGTAGGTCACAGTGACACAGTCACACTGACGTACTCTGAGAACCAAAGATGTATCAACTGACAAAGTCTGATGATTCAAAGTCAAATAGTACCAAAAAATATTAAATACAGCCATAAAATTTCAAAAGTAGGTCACAGTGACCTACTTTTCAGTTGTCATACTCCGAGGACCCAAGATGCATCAACTGACAAAGTTTGATGATTCTAAGCCAATTTGTAGCAGAAATATTTAATTAAAGCCATAAATTTTCAAAAGTAGGTCACGGTGACCTACTTTTCAGTACATGTACTCTGAAGACCCAAGATGCATCAACTGACAAAGTTTGATGATTCTAAGCCAATTAGTACCTGAAATATTTAATTATGGTGACCCACTTTTCAGTCGACCTACTCTGAGCCCAAGATACATCAACTGACGAATTTTGATAATTCTAAGCCAAATAATATCCTAAATATTTAAAAATAGCCATGAAATTTCAAAAGTAGATTACGGTGACCTACTTTTCAGTTGATGTTTTTCGAGGATCCAAGATGCATCAACTTATAAAGTTTTATAATCATAGGCCTTAAAATGTTCAAATTATGCCTCTAAAACGCTTTGAAATCAAATGCCTGCAAAGTTCAAAAAGTAGGTCACTGTGACCTACTTTTTAATAAATATGTTTTATGGCCCCAAGATGCATCATATTACAAGATTTAATGATTCTAAACCTCTCAGTATTCCAATTAATGACCTTAGTTGTTTTGAAAAAGATTAGCCATAAAATTCAAAAAGTAGGTCAAGGTGACCTACTTTTTAGTCGACATACTCCGAGGACCCAAGATGCGTCAACTGACAAATTTCGATGATCATAGGCCTTAAATTTTTCAAAAAATGCCTCTAAATCATTTTGAAAAAGAATGGCAAAATTTAAAAAGTAGGTCACCGTGACCTACTTTTGAGTCAACATGATATGAGGTAATCAGATGCATCAACTGACAAGATTTGATGATCATAGTCCTTATAGTAAGCAAAATATCAACATTTTAATAAAATGTAATTTTTGGTCAACTTTGAAGTGACCTTGAGACCACGCCATTTGCCCCAGGGTGATGCCTTGAATAATTTTTAATCTACAACATATCCTCATCCTTTTTGTAAGTTTGGTGATAATTTGCCAAGCGGTTCTTGAGAAGAAGATTTTTTAGCAACCAGTACTTTTGTTTCTATTTTCCTAATTATCTCCCCTTGTTTAAGGGTCAAAACCCTACTTTCAGTATAAATGGGAGCCCTTGGGCCAAGGATACCCTGTGACAAACTTGACAATAATCGGCCAAAGGGGTTCTTGAGTTATGGCCCATATTCTAAAAAGTTTACGCATGCCGCACAAATGGCCATAGCATTAGCTCTGAAAGTACAGTAAAACTTGTCTAATCCAGCGACTAGTGGTTCCAAAATTTTTGGCCGGATTAGACAACATCCGGATTGGAGAAAATTGAACCATTATAGCAAGTTAAAAATTACATAAACATAGAGTGGTAAATAAATACTTGATCAAATGTGTCATTTTTTACATTTCACTTGAAAAAAAAATCGTCTATTTCTGTTTGTTTTAAACTCTGTTTGTTCTTCAGAATTTTCATTTCTGTTTAAGTTTTTTATTCAGTTACGAAATATAATATCTCTTGGTCATTTATTAAATTTGAAAATCGTTAAATGTTTTAAACACACTCCAAAACCTCATCGTTGTTGTAAATATTATTTTGTTAGGGACAGATTCCTAATTAATTTCTTTATTTTAAAATTAATATGATTGAATATTAAGACACTTCAAATGTTATAATGAATATTGAACCAAAATCTTCTGTCGTTATGGTCGTTGTAAACTAGCGACACAAAGGGAAGTAATTCGAATTACATGTCGTGCACACAAAACGAAAGTAGAAAGGAGGTCATGAACAAGTCTCCAAGTTTTTCTACAGACATGCTACACAAAACCATCACTATTACTCGTTCTTTTGCGAGTTAATTTCCTCGCCTTACTTGAGCCATTAATGATTTTTTTATCACGTTTGTTAAAATCTAAACTGTCGATACAGGATAGATCATTAATGGGACAATAATTACCCCACGCGAGACTTCTCTAATGACCAGCGGGCACAGGTAAAAATAAGTGGCCGGATTAGAGGAGATAATTTGTACTAATTATGAGCAGTTAGTTCTTTAAATAGCGGTCGGTTTACAGAATAGGCAAGATCTGGATTGAACAACATTTATTAAACATAAATTATAAAGGAAATTCAGGGGACTAAAATATTACGCCGGACTGAACAACATGCCGGAATGCACAACATCCGGATTCAACAAGTTTTACTGTACTTTTTGTATTTTACAATAAATATTCTGGCATAATTCTCGTATTCTATTAACCTTTCAAATACATTGTTTACAGAGATTAATTTTCAAAGGTGAATGGCAAAAAGGAATAACTTCCAGCGGAATACAAGTTAATAGAGCCCTGGCCAGGACCAGAACACTTGACTAAATGGTCCAAGTGTTCAAAATTCTGGTAAAAATACCTTTGCATATTAAAACTTCTACTCTGTTTGCCTCGAATATGCCCAGAAGCATAGAAAATTTTCAAAGAAATGCATTTTCACTAAATTATTAAATAAATAAAGCTCCATCCTTATACCAGACATCTGACTCAGGGGCCATGAACTCACAATTCTGGAAGAAGCACCCTTGCTCATCATAACTATATACTTGTTTCTTTGCTTTATAAACAGTAGTAGAAAAAATATTTTGAAAGAAATTATGCATTTTCAATATATAATCAATAGAGTCCCCCCCCCCCTTCACTCTTCACCTAACCCCTGACCCAGGAGCCATGAATTTCAAGATTTGGAAGAGGCATTCTTCCTTATTATAACCATGCACTTCCTTTGTTTGAATAATACCAAGGAGCAGAGAAGAAGATTTTGAAAGAATTTATGCATCTTCACTATATAATCAAGAGCCCCGCCCTAACACCAGAACCCCTGACCCTGGGGCAATGAAATTCACAATCATCATAACTATGTTCTTAGTTAGTTTATTTAATATCCAGGAGCAGAGAAGAAGATTTTCGAAGAATTAATGCATTTTCACTATATAATCAATAGAGCCCTGCCCTAACACCAGAACCCCTGACCCTGGGGCCATGAAATTCACGATTTTAAAAGAGGCACTCTTGCTCATCATTACTACGTACTTAGTTACATTATTAAATACCCAGGAGCAAAGAAGAAGATTTTCAAAGAATTAATGCATTTTCACTATATAGTCAATAGAGCCCTGCCCTAACACCAGAACCCCTGACCCTGGGGCCATGAAATTCACAATTTTGGAAGAGGCACTCTTGCTCATCATAACTATGTACTTAGTTAGTTTATTTATTACCCAGGAGCAGAGAAGAAGATTTTCAAAGAATTAATGCATTTTCACTATATAATCAATAGAGCCCTGCCCTAACACCAGAACCCCAGACCCTGGGGCCATGAAATTCACAATTTTGGAAGAGGCACTCTTGCTCAGCATAACTATGTACTTAGTTAGTTTATTTAATGCCCAGGAGCAGAGAAAAAGATTTTCAAAGAATTAATGCATTTTCACTATATAATCAATAGAGTCCCGCCCTAACACCAGAACCCCTGACCCTGGGGCCATGAAATTCACGATTTTGGAAGAGGCACTCTTGCTCATCATAACTATGTACTTAGTTACTTTATTTAATACCCAGGAGCAGAGAAGAAGATTTTCAAAGAAATAATGCACTTTCACTATATGATCTATATAGCCCTGCCCTAGCACCAGAACCCCTGATCCTGGGGCCACGAATTTCACAATTTTATTAGAGGGCTCAATGCTTATTACAATGATGCCAACAGTTTGACTGTTTGATGTCCAGGAGTAAAGAAGAAGATTTTTAAAGATTGCATTATTTTTGGTGGTTTTAGCCCCACCCCTCAGGCCCCAGGGGGGCAGGGACCATGAAATTCACAATTTTTGTTCTCCTTCAACCATAGATGCTATATGACAAATTTGGTTGAAATTGGTTAAGTGGTTTCAGAGAAGAAGCTAAAAATGTTCAAATGTTAACACACGACGCACACCGCATGCCGACGGACGAGAATGGATAGCAATAGGTCACCTGAGTGACTCAGGTGACCTAAAAAAAAGAAATATGTGCATAGACATGAATGCACTACCGAGGGTATACATGTATTAGTAATGCAACATGAAAATTTGTATTAGTGTATGAAATTTGATGAGAATATCTTGAATAGTTTCTATAAAATTGAAATCTAAAAAGTTGGATATAGATGATAAATTCTCACCAAATTATGTATAAGTGCATAAGCTTACATAAATGTATCTTAAATGGTTTCTTTAAAACTAAGCAAAATGCAAATTTAAAAAAAGTGAAGTCAAGGTCACAGGAAAGTTCATGGTCAAACATTTTTGATGCAGTTTTCACAAATACGTATCAGCATATTAAGTTTGATTAAAAATATTTTAAATGGTTTATTTAAAACTGAGCTAAACACTAATTTAAAATAAATGAAGTTAATGTCAAAGGAAAGGTCAAGGTAAAAAAATGTTGATGCAGTTGAAAAGCTTACATCAGTACGTATTAGCATATGAAGTTTGATAAAAATATTATGAATGGTTTCTTTAAAACTGAGTTAAACACAAATTGATAAAAGTGAGGTCAAATGAAAGGTCAAGGTCAAAAATGTTGATGCAGTTGAATTGCTACATCAGTATATATCAGCATATGAAGTTTGACACTAATTTAAGAAAAGTGAGGTCAAGGTCAAAGGAAAGATCAAGGTCAAAAATGTTGATGCAGTTGAACAGCTCTCATCAGTATGCATCAGCATATAAAGTTTGATAACACTATCCTGAATGATTTCTTTAAAACTGAGCTAACCACTAATTTAAGAAAAGTGAGGTCAAGGTAAAAAAAGTTGATGCAGTTGAATAGCTTTCATCAGTATGTATAAGCATATGAAGTTTGATAAAAATATCTTGAATGGTTTCTTTAAAACTGAGCTAACCAATAATTTAAGAAGAGTGAGGTCAAGGTCAAAAGAAAGGTCAAGGTAAAAAAAACGTTGATGCAGTTGCATAGCTCTCATCAATATCTATCAACATATGAAGTTTGATGAAAATATCTCGGATAGTTTCTTTGAAACTGAGCTTGAACTGAGCTAAACGCAAAGCACGACGGAAGGACAGACAGAAGGACGGAAGACGGACATGACAACACTATATGCCCCGGCCATATTCATGGCGGGGCATTTCAATTATTTGTCTGACAAGCTGCATGGTATAACTATCAGAACACATTAGGCCAAACAAATAGAATAACTGATCAGTGTTTAAAATAACCATGTTCCCAACAGCCTGAGATGCATATATTTTGCCTAGAGGAAACAAATCTGCTTGCATCCACAACCAGCTGTGCATGTTTTAAATTCCATAAATAAAAAGAAATTGCATTGATAGATCTGTCTCAAATGGACTAATTGTACTTGTCGCAAAGTGTAACAAGCCAAGTGGTAGAACTCATCAGTCTTTATAATCGGGCTAGAAGTTAAGCTGACTCAGTCCTAGTCACAGAAGAGCTGTGTCATCTTTTGGAAACGTTACAAAACTTTTTAAGGTTGTCACTTAATTTCCAGCCATGAAACGCTAGGCATACGATGTAACAAATTATATATGGTTTTCATTTGCAATATTTTATTTTAAAAGGCAATTAATTTCTTGGGCTAGTAGATCTTTGGCAGGGCTGACAACTTTTACTAGCAATAAAGCTCTCCATGTCTAGCTTATTTTACAGGGAGTTTCAAACACTGAAATGATACGGTAAATATTAATCAAGTCCATTTGCTAATTATGCCATAGAATATATCCTGCATCATGTTCATGTTGACAAAACTTTGCACACTGTTGCATTGGTGTGATTTCAGTTTTATGCTAAATTATCTGCAACATGTTGAATTGGTGCTTTGAGATGAAAATAAACTGCTTGTGTAAAACTGATTATCATTCGCTTTAATCAATGATATCGTTGAGAATTTTTTTCATTTTACATAAAATGTCAACCTGTCAGAGATGAACAGAGGCAGAATGATGGTACATCCTCAATATAGCTAATCAGATTGAACACATTAACTCCATTGGAGAAGCAATTGAAGTAATTTTGTTATTTACTACACATACTACAAACCAACTTTTTTATTCAAAACACCTTTTATTCACAATTTTTTGGTATGAAATCCATCCACGATTATTAACTTATGCACCTGAGGAAACATTATGCATAAATACTGGCTAAACTCTTTGCAGTGAGAAATATTCACAAGTAAAAAGGGGTTGCAATACTCACAGATATTTTTCATATTCAAATAAACACAGGTAATCAAAGAATATGAAGCTCAACAAATGTTATCTATAAGTAAGGCAAATCTCACACCATATCTTTTTCTAGTTAGTGAGCATCCCAAGATCAATATCCAAGTTTGGTTTAAGTAGGACTTAAAATTACTTTGGAATGGACTTGCTCCAAACTTTAACCTGGTCACTCATCTGGAAAATGTAGGTCATATCTGTGCAGCATCCGAAGCAAGTCTGGTAGTGTCCATCCCTAGATGCATCATCCATGCAAGTTTGGTCTAGGTATAGGGCTTATAGTTACTTGGGAATGGACCTGCTTCTAAAACTATAACCAGGACGCCAACACTAACATGACACCTGCCAGGGTATAGCATAAGCTCATTTCGCCATAGTAGAAGTATGCTAAAAATTGGTTTACAGTATACTGAGATTGACTTCTATGTCCTTGTGATCTGAGGTTACACCAATAACATTTATCTGCATGCCTCATACCTTACATCCTTCACACGTTATAGCACCAAAATGGAACCCTGAGGATGAAGCACTGCACACCTGACAAGGAATGTTACTGATACCATTCTCTTTTCTGTCCAAACTCTCTTTTTGACCTGCAAACCACAATGAAGACATTAAAATTTATCATTACAGTCAAATCTCGTTATCTTGAACTCAATGGGAGAGAGAAAAAACTTCAAGATATCCAAGGATTTGAGATATTAAGGGTAAAATACTAAAACAATAAGGGGTTGAACTTCCAAATCACTTCGACATATCCACGGTATTCAAGATATCAGAGTTCAAGATACCAAAATTTGATTGTATTTGGTTACAATATTAATCAAACAAGCTTAGCTGTACATTTTTAGCATTATACTAACTTGGAATACACATGTTAAAGGACAAACATTTCTGGAATCTGCAGTACTGACATTGGACTCGACTCTCTCTCGTTATTTTACAATTTTTGTCCTTGAGGCAAGTGTATTTCATTTTCTGTTGCCTTGAAGCTCTCATGAAAAATTTCTGAAACAATGGAAAAGTCAATGAAACAATGGAAAAGTCAGGATTTAATCTATATTTCTGAATAACAATAAACCATATTTTGACTCTATAGATTAGAAAGTAACAATTTCAATGTATAAAAAATTTTGGTTCAAAGTTTTAATGATGATGAATGATCATCCTTTTAGTTATACAGTCCCTCTAAACACTAATAAAATATGTTTCCAGGTCAGTGAGAAAATTGTATTGTATAAGATTACCTATTTTATTTTCAACATTAGATACCAGTCATTTACCCCCAGGAAAAATATTGAAAGATAATGAAGAATAGATCAACACAAATCACAAGTGGGGAAAATGCAAATAAAATGTTCAATCAGTGGGGAAAATGCAAATAAAATGTTCAATCAATTTATTTTACCTTGATAAAATTTATTTTTATAGCAGATTTTTTTCCGATTACCATTGCTCCTACCAAGTAGCCAGTTACAAATGCCATCCCTATCATATATACATGGTTTATGTTTAATGGCCAATTACCATTACAAGATTGAAGTATCTATCTTTATTATGAATATGATTTCATTGTTCTAGTGACCTAGTAACAAGCAATGTTCAGTCAGGCAATGCTTCCTCATCTAATTAATTAAAAAAAAAAATAGATCCATGGGCCACAATGCTCACCTGAGTCATCATGGGCCTGTTAACAGAAAATGAAAAAAAAATGTTTGCACTTTATTCACTTGAAAAATTCCTACACTATATTGTAGCCCACCCTAACCCCAAGAGATCATGATATAAAATAATTTGAATCTATACATCCTGTGGATGCTTTAATGTCATTATAAATACAAGAGGCTCAATGGCCTAGAAATACTCTTGTGAGAAATTGTACAACCTATCTCTTCAATTTTAAGCCTCTTAGTATCCTATAAATAAGGATAAAGCCTTGAAATTCCAAAAGTAGGTCAGCATGGCTTTCATTTTGGTTAACACACTCTGAAAACCAAAGATACATCAACTGACAAAATTTATTTGATGATTCTAAGCCCCTTATTTTCTTAAATATTTAGATAAAGACATAAAATGCCAAAAGAAGATCACAGTGACCTACTTTCTGTGTCGCCTACAGAGCAAAGCAGCATTTAAGAATCACCTTACCCAGCGTCAGTCTGTCTGTCTGTCCATCTGTCACACCCTATATCTCAAGATCTGTAAAAGTTATGGATTTGATATATTGCTTGGCACTATGGCTTTTGTAAATTACCATAGTTACCATCTTCGCTAGCCAAGGGTTTCCGATCCGAAATCTACTCTACAGTAGATTAGATTTCGGATCGGAAACCCTTGGCTAGCGAAGATGCATAGTTACCTACCTCATGATTCTTGACCTTTGACCAAATTTTCAAAATAGTTCATTGTGCCGATATACAGCATATTTTTTACATTTAAGAGGTAAGTCTATGCTATTTAGTATGTGCACTGTTTGGTTAAGACATTGTGAAAAATACCAGCATTACAATCCACTTGACTTTGAACTACTTTACAAAAAAATACCACGGGCAATTATTCATTTAACTTCTGACTTTTGAATTTTGAGAGACAGGATTTCGATAAATAGCATTTATATATGTTTCTGAGCTCATGATAGTGTACTTTGAAACTGTATGATATTCAGTTACCACACAAACTTATATTTAATATAAATAGTAAGAAAATACATCGGAATCAGTATTCCACAGTGGATCATGTAGACTGACAATTGCAGTAAAGACAGACTGAAATCTCTTTTCAAGGATTGTTGGAAATACATATTAAAAAAATACTAGTTATTTCTAATAATTTCAATTTAATTATTCATTTGAGGGTTAGGGAACCATATTTTATTTGATTGTCAGATTCTATGGCATTCATAAACTATCCATAGATGCCATTTTTTCTTTGCAGACAAATGCATAAAATATCATGCTAATAGAAAGTAAGAAGCTAACCACTCTTAGATTTATTTTCATCTTTAATGAAGCAACAAAGTAGGCGACACACACATTCCTTGGAACACTCTAGATGCTTAATATACTCTGAGACCCCAAGGTGAATCAACTGACAAAGCTTGATGATTCTAAGCTAAAATGTTTACAAACAACACACAACAGACAGACAGACAGGTGCCGGACACCCTTAGATCATAAAAGCTCACTTGAGCATTTAGCTCTGGTGAGCTAAAAAAAGAGAAAAAAGAGAAAGTCTGACATAACACCACCTTGAAATTCAACTGACATGGATACACTTACTAAGGACTAGATACAATATTTTTAGATGTGCCTGTCATTGCATTCATAAATCTTTCTTTATTATAAACTCAAGGAAAGGTTATAAAGGAGCAGCATAGAATTTGCTAATTTATGTTAATTCGATTTGTACTACATTAAATTTCATATGAAAAGATTGATTGATTGATTGCTTATCCTGATATCAAATTACTATTTCATATCTTAGCCATAAAGGATAATGCTTAATAATAAAAGTTTATAGAGTCTTGTTTATGCATTGTTTGCTTTGTTTTCTAGTTAACCAGAAAATCTCTTATGAGACTGTAGCTTTGTACCATGGCTGGGTATACCTATGTTCCAAGTTTTATTCAAAATCAGAACAAACTTATAGGAGGAATATTGTTTGTTCATATCAAAAAAGTAAATTTGTATACTCACTCTCTTCTGTATCATTTTTTATTGAAATCGGTCAGTCCGTTTATCTATAGTCAATTTTTCAAAATCCTACTGCTCCTACAGTCCAGTCATATATATTATAAAATTTTCCGTCAAACTAAAATAACTAATTGCAAGATTTATAAACTTTTTATTAATCAATAAGATGATTTGAATAAATAAGAAAAAGGTTAGAAAAATTCAAACATGGGAAAAATAAAATATTGAGGTCATTATTGGGAAGTATTTTATTCACTTTGATGAAATGAAGTAAACAGAATCAAATGAAAATGTAAAGTAAAAAACTGCTATATCAATTCGAAATACATATATTAAGTAGGATATTAAACTTAATAAACTGAAGAAAAAAAATACTGGTTGCTATGTGTGTTGGCTGTCATGGAACATACAGTATAATTTGGGAATTTTAGGTACTTTGAATATTGAACCTTAACAAAGACTAGGACAATCAATTCCACTTTCCTTTTTTCAATGTTCCTCAAATTTAGAGAAAGTGTTCCAAATGCTATTGTTCAATCTTTAAAGGTTGTTCATGGAAACATCTCTGGTAGCAGTTCCCATTAAATAAGTGCCACCTCAGGCATTTTATTATTGCAAAAAATTACTGCCTGAGTGATATGGTAAATGGAAAAAAAAATCCTTAGGGAGAAACTGGGTTTTAAAGAATGGGTTTAAATTTTTAAAACCTTTTAAAAGATCAATTAAGTACTTCTGTCAAAACAATCCATTTGAATTTATTATTTAAACATGATGCAACTCTTGTACAAATGGTACAGTCATTACAGAAAAAAAGCTCAATACATTGTATTTGTATCTTTGATATAGGAAGCTTGTTACTGTTCACAAAAGCACTTGGCAGTACTGTTTTAAATCTTTTTCCTATTGTTGTATTCTAATATGTACTACGTTATCGATAACTTAATCCTTTTCTTTCTATAATTTGTTTTTGAATATATCGTTTTCAACCGATACATAAAAAGAGAGAAGGCTTGGAACTCTTTTCTTGTCGTCTGCCTCACCTGCTTAAACTTTGCATGATTTTTTATCTAAAGCATAAGATAACATGGATTACGCATACATCAATAAATTTGTTACACATTCTTCTTCCTTTTCATATTTCTATTTAATTTTTATGTGCCCTCAATTTGTAAATATTTCGATGAAATCACCCGCATCTAAGGGTAAATTTTGTTGGTGTGCACCTGCTGGGACGGAAGTGCAATAATGGTACCTCTGACTTTATGAATGTTCTGTATTAAAAAAGAATTCCTGGTCTTTTAATAAAAATATTGTGAAATTTGGTTGTCTAGGTCATTTGTTAAAATGCTAATCTTCATCCATCAGAATCAGCTAGATATAGTTATCTTGTTATACACAGAACTACCGTTAATATGAAGAGAAAATTTGGGATTTTTTCCCTTTCACATTTAATGTTCCGAATGACATTACACATAATGATGACACCCGAAAATACTGGGCACTTCCATGCAGAAGGCTTGCAACTCTTATCTTGTCCTCTGCCTCACCTTGCTTAAACATTTCGATGTCTTACACACAGTGAAAGGGAAACACGGAAGTTATAAGTTGTAATCTGGACATTTTTTTTATTTTTCTACAACAGTATAGTTACATGTAGTTAATGAAACTGGAATCATCTTGCAGCCTTCAGTGTCTGATTCATTCAAATCCTGACTATATAATAACACAATTATGGACTCTTTCAATGGTGAATATGGTTTGTTATTCACTAGAAAATATCAATATTGACCTCGCTTGCCTGGGTCAAAATTGATATTTTTCTGGTGAATAACAAATCATATTCACCACCGAATGAGTCCATAACTGTATATTATTTCAATGCTCTTTTTAACCCCACCCCCCTTCCTTCTGACAAAGATCACTTCTTTGGCCCTGTTATAAAAAGCAAACTTATTTTACACAGTTTATAATCCTTATGTGAATCAGTATGCATTAATTTAAAATTTGAGACGAAAAAACAACAAAAGTTCAACACACAAGATCATTACATATAGTTCAACTTTTGCCATATTTCTAGAAATCCGTGTTCACTGCAAACACCACAGTCACAGACTGTCGCCAATATTTTTCCTAACTTGAGACGGATTTTTATGAAACTTGTTTTATTACATTCATTACATATTCATTACAGATTGGGAAAATAGTGTTATCCTGGCAAGCAAAAATTTTAATTGCAAGTGTCATAAAAGTATTTCAGTTGAGGTTCACGTCAAAACATGGCTGACTCAAAATAATTCCTGAATCTCCCAAGACTCC